GCGAAGCAGCTTTAACAACGGGCTGACCTTCTCTGCGAACTGGGGCACAAACTTTGAATCATATGCCACCACTCCCAAGAACGAACGGAGCTGACGCTTGGATTTTGGTTTTGCGAAGCACTTGATCGTCTCGCGTTTCTCCGGAAGTGGATGGACTTGACCATTGCCCACGATGTGACCCAAGCATACAATCGACTTTTGGGCAATCTGCGACTTTTTACGACTGAGTTTCAGACCAGCTTCCTCCAATCTCTGCAGTGCTGCTCCAAGTCTGGGCACATGTTCCTGTTCCGTCTCAGAGAAGACGATGATGTCATCACCATAAACAACCACGCCTTGCAGGTTCGCCAGGACCATCAGCAACAAACGCCTGAATGTAGCTGGGGCGTTGCACAATCCAAACGGCATTCTCAAAAACTCATACTGCTGGCCATTGACACTGAACGCCGTCTTGTGGCGATCTTCTTCTGCGATCGGCAGTTGCCAATATCCCGAGCGGAGATCAATCAGAGATATCTGCTTCGCACTGTGAAGGCTTGAGAAAATTTCTTCCATCTGAGGCATCGGGAATGCATCCTTCACCGTCACCCTGTTTAGTTCTCTGAAATCGATGCAAAATCGATAGGTTCCGTCGGCCTTCTTCGTCAATAGCACGGGTGATGAATACGGGCTGTGCGTTCGCCTGATGATTCCTTTCGATTCCATCTCGGTCACCTGCTTCTGTATCTCAACCAGGGTGTTCTGTGGAATTCGTCTGAAGATTGGCTTGCATTGTCCTCCTGGGATCAACGGTATTCGGTGTTCAACCCAATTGCAAAATCCGTAATCATCTTCCGCGTCTGTGAATAAGTGGGCATACCTGCTCAGTACGTTGCGTATTGCACGATTCTGACAATCAGGCACGGCTTTGAGGGCACCAACCCGGTCGGTTCTCCCCTTGTTTATCTCGATCGTCTCGTTCGCCACGATCACCACATTGTTTTTCAGGTCAATTGTGACACCGAGCCGTTTCAGGATGTCGGTTCCGATGATGGTTTCGGTCGTCTCCTCCACGATGAACATGTCATGGCGGATGAGCGTTTCTCCTATTCTGATTCGTAACCGCTGCGTGCCCGTCACTTTCAAAGAATGCCCGCCGACCGTCTGCATCGTGATTGAAGATGGGTTTACTGGAACCCCATTGAACCTCTTCGTAATTGACACTGCCGCTCCTGTGTCTACTATGGCTCGGACAGACACACCTTCTATAGTTACCTGGAGGACTGGTACTCGCCACCGACTCGGCATGGATAGAGAGAAACAATGGGGCACATTGACGTTAGTGCAGAATCTCGCCACATGACCACTCTGGTTGCATCGGAAACAGCGGCGACCGTTCCGGATTACCCGTACATTGCGTTGTGAAGTGGTGCTTGAAGACTGTATCGACAACAGCTGCTCCACCATTTCGGATAGGCGATTTACTTTCTGTTCCAACTCAGCATGCTGGATGCTTCTCACTGTCACTCGTTCCGACAAATTCTGGGCGACCGTCACCAGATCCAACGCTTTGCTGTCTCCCACCATCGACGCCAATTTCACCTGATCACGGAGTGGACCGGGCAGACTTCGGATAAACTGCTGTTTCAGTAGGCGCTCTCTTGCGTTGCCCTCTAACTCGGGGAGCCCAATCGTTAGATGTCTGTCCAGCTGCTGGAAAAACACCATCAAATCCTCCTGTTCGTCCCATCTGGTTGCGTGAAATCGTTGCAGTGCTCGTTCTCTCTCCAGATCCTTCCCAAATTCTGCACACAAGGCAGCCCTCATCTCAGCGAACGAACAACCGGGTTTGGCCTTTCGAGTGAGCAAATACACCGCCTTGGCTCGTCCACTCAACCGTGTGCCCAAAGCAATTAGCAAATTTGCATCCCCCTCACCCCCGTGCAAGCCGCAATTCCGTCGAATTCATCGAGCCACGCCTCCACGTCACCGGCCGCAAATTGCTCTAACTGGGTCAACTCCACCACGATTGGTCACGGCACCAATCTTGCGAAAACGACACGACAGGGGGGTAGACGTTTATTGCACACCGAAAATGGGCACATGAGGGTCTCGCGCGCGCCATCGAATATCGACTAGATTTCCGTCCCGCAACGCAACACAGGTACGGATGTTAGAGCCGAGCCAGTCCTTTCGCCTCGGGAGCTCTGACTTGGAATATCCGCCTTCCTGTTTTCGCCTCGATCTCCGCTTCTCTGTACCCGATTTGGATCGGCCAGGAGTCGTTCGAGAGCTCTCGACTTGCTTGTTCTGGGCTGTGTCAATCGGCTCGGCCTCGGTCCTGTGGGCTGCGCTAGCGGCGTATTTGTCTGATCTATTGCGCTGTCCACATATTCCCGCTCCGTAGTTCCGGGCCCAGGCTCGTCGCTAGCCGTCCTTCTCGATCCGCTCTCAGCTCGCTCCGAAGAGCTCCCCCGAGACATTCTTGGAAGCGGCCCCTCTACAATAGGACGCATGCGCATACAGAGGGATCATGGGTGATTTGCGTAGCATCACCCACAACTCCCTCCGCACACTCCATATCCAGTGTCAAGCCGAAGGAATAAGGCTGGAAGGTAAGTGGACGAGGGAAAAGTTTCATCAACGGAGCCGGCCCACACTCCTTCACAGGCAAACACAAGCACCCTGTATTTGGGGAAACAAGTGCACACAAGGCGGTTGCTTGACCGTAGTCCGCTCCACACTGAATGCATGGAACCACTCTTCGAGCCTAACACGGGCACAAGGACCGTGTATTCCGTCTCCACCAGCAACGACCAACTGTCTCCTGGAGCCAGCATAGAGGAGATAGTGGGTAATAGACAGGTAGGCACCTTGTCAAAATGCACATCAAGCGTAGCTACACCGGGATATCAAGCAACAGCCAATCAACTGAAACGACAATAATAAATAAATTAGATCGAATAATGCAAAAAGAAATGGCGAGATAGTTCCTTAATAAAAGAGCATAGGAAATAATTTGGCTGCCAAAATAGTCAGCTATAGTTTCAAGACGTCAGAAAATAAATTTTAGCAAAATCACATACGCGAAAATGTCATCAAGTTTAACTAGAAATAAATTGAGCGACGTGTGCAAGTTAATATAAATTAGTTCAGATGGACATTAAGGAGACAAGGTAGCAAACTCACCACCTGAAATAAAGAGACCCATCATGCAAGCAAGCGGTTAGTATACCGAATGCAGTTTACCTACAAATGCTGCGCCGGTTCTGCCTAGGTTCTCCACAGGCCCCTTCGTCGCTTCGGTAGTGGTCCCGAGTGGTCTCGCGCATGGCTCACTAGGCCTGCCTGACTCAGACATTCGCGACCGCATGTGTTACAGCGCCATGCGCTCGATGTCGATGGAGTACAACCCATCGGTGCCTGTCGCTTCCGCACTTGCCGCTTCTTCTCTACATGCATGTGGATCTTCTCCTGCATCTCGGCAACTGCCTTTGTGATCGGATCGCGCCATGTATGCCAATCAACCGCCTTCGATTCCCATGACCTCCGCTCAAGATCAGAACGTGAGAGCCGCACTTTGATCATGTCCTGGTAACGAAGCTTTGGTTTCCCCACATGCCGCTTCCCAGTACTCAGCTGACCATATAATAGCTGCTTCGGTATCCGCGTTGAATCCATACGTCACACGTGACCGAGTCACCTCAGGTGTTTCAGCGAAATTATGCAGTCCACTGCATATATTCCACTTCGACTCAAACATTCCGTGTCCGCCAATCTGTCGCCCCATCCGACGCGCAGAATCCGTCGAAAACACTGCTGAGGAAGCCGCTCGAGATACCGAACATCCCGCCGCTATATCGCCCACGTTTCGCTGCAGTATAGAAGAACAGAGAGAACCACGATGTGTATACCATCAGCTTCATGCCAATGGTAAACTGATGGTTGTTCCAAACTCGGTACCCAAGCTTCCAGAATGCCGCCGCTGCCTTTGACACGCGAATACGCAGCTCACTGTGTCGTGCTGCTGGTCAGTCGACATCACACTCTCAAGGTAGCAGAAGTGGGAGGGGGTTTCCAATATTTCAGTACCAATGCTGATTCGCGGCAATATTGATGATTGCACCTCCGGTGAAGGCTGAAAGAGACAGACGGTTTTGATTCTGTTGGCTGTGAGCCCGAATTTAGCTACTGTCGAAGCCAGAGCACTAGTCATGTGCTGCAACTCATCCGCGCTGTGTGCAAACAACGCACAATCGTCAGCAAACAGCAACATACGGATAGTTGTCTCACAGACTAGAGTTCTCGCAACGAAACGACGGATGTTCAGCAACCCACCGTCAATACCATGCTCCACACGAACATCGTAAGCAAAAGACACATCAAAAGCACAAGACAGCATGGCATGAAGATATACATTAAACATGGCAGGAGCTAAGACACAACCTTGCTTCACACCAGAGATAACTGCAATGTCATCCGAGGTATCTCCATTCAGCTGCACCCTCGCTCGCATACCATGATGCAGACATTCAATAAAACTTAAAAAATTACGTGGGCTACCAAACTTACCCAACACCAGCCACAATGCCTCGCGGTTCACCGTATCTAATGCTTTGGTGAAATCAACAAAAAGCGAATAAAATGGCTGGTGTCGTTCTCTGCACTTCTCTTGCGACTGACGAGGCGCAAACACCATATCTATAGTCCTGCGACCCCAACGGAATCCACACTGCTCTACCGCCACGTTAGGTTCCACAACCTGACTGACGAGGCGTTTGAGCAGGATCCGGGCCATCAACTTGTCCACACAACTCAGCAAGTTGATGCCAAGATAATTCGTGCAACATTGCTTGCTCCATTTGCCCTTGTACAGTGGTAGGACAACGGCATCTTTCAGCTCAGGAAGCGCCTCCGCCTCAATCCACATTCGATGCGCCAAATATTGCAGCGCAGTCAAAAGTGCGGGTCCGCCGTGTTTCAATATTTCAGGCGGGATCCCGGCGGCCCAAGCACACTTGCCGTTTCGCAGCTGAGCAAATGCTCTCTGTTTCTCATCAACTGTCGACGTGTCCTCCAAACTCGTTTTCACATCGTGCTGCTTGCGGCCGTTCAATTTAGGTCAGCCGATCTCTGAACGGTTGTTCAAGAGACAGTCGAAGTGTTTCCGCCAAATCCACATTATGTCTGCAGTCTTTGTGCAGGTAACGCCTGAACTACCATCGATCAGCGTCCTCAGCCGCTTCAACCTCGGTCCAGAGACCGCTTTCAAGGAGTCAATGAATTGATTTTGTTGGCGGCATTCGGCCTAGCATTCTATCTGCCTCGCCTTCTCCGTCCACCGTGCATTTTTAATGCGACGGAGCTCTCGCGTCAGTAGCCCTCGAAGTTTGCGAAACTGACTACTCTTCCCATGTCACTGGGATCCGCCACATGTGCATCAAATGCTGCATTCTTCCAGGACACCAATGCGCCAATCGTCGCATTGTTGTCATCAAACAAATCAAGCCGCTTAGAGTTTGTGCGCTCGATGGTCTTCACGGCAGCAGCTGTCACCCGGTCCCGAATGTGGTGCCACAGATCGCCCACTGTGGCCATGTAGTCCACATCACTCAGGCGTGCAGACCTCGCCTTTTCCAACTCATTAAGCTTCGCCGCAGTACCGGGGGAGAGAATGTTAAATTTACGCCGATTCACGGCGGCAGTGCAATACATAGATCTACGAAAATATACGTACAGTTTGGTTCGTACCAATTTGTGATCAGTGCCACACTCAGCTCCACGCAGTACACGTGTCATGCGCACTTCACGCATATCATGCTGACGTACGATGACATAGTCGAGCAAGGGAGCATGACTACTCCGTGGGTGCGTCCAAGTTGCTATATCACTCGCACTCAGTGCAAACCGAGTGTTCGTGATCGTCAGGCCGTGAGTGGTACACAGTGAGAGCAGTTTGTCAACGTTCGCATTCGCTGAACCAATTTCATGCGGACCGAAAACATCTGTCCACACCGATGCATCATGCCTGACGCGCGCGTTGAAATCACCCAGCAGAAATAGTCGGTCGCTCCTCTGTACAGACCGTATCACGGAGGATAGCTGAGTGTACAACAGCGTGTCATCAGAATAACAAGTGGTCAGGTCGTACGTACTTATAAAAGTGGCAAACTTACCTCTTCCGAGTCGTAGACGAACAGTCATCAGTCGCGCGCTGATGCCTGTTGGTTCACCAACCAGCTGGCCATGCAGGCGATCGGATATTGCAAATCCGACCCCATGTTCACGTGGTGCTGACGCAGCGTTGCCCACCCAGTAGAATGTGTAGTCAGCACCTGTTTCATGCAAATTACCTTGCTCAGCGAGCCGAATCTCACTGAGCGCCGCAATATCGATGTGGTAGCGCGCCAGTTCCATCGCGACCGGTGCAGTGCGTCGCTCGGGGCGCTCACTGGAGTTCCGGTCCAGTAGTGTGCGCAGGTTCCAGCACCCGATGCTGAGGGCTTTGCGCGCAGGCATACGATTGCATTGGTGAGCAATCGCACGTGAGGTGGTCGTTGTGCTTCGGAGGTTTGATTGGAGCACTCCACCAGGGGCGTTTGGCTCAATAGCCTTACCCACAAGGCATTGTGTTATTTGGAGGTTTGCTTGAGGGACACCGTCCGGAGTCTTTGGCTCGATAGCCTTACGCACAAAGCGGTGGGGAGCAGATCCAGCTAGGGAATGTGATTGCAGAGACAGATAGGGATCTGCTTGACGGCCGTCACACGCAACCTTTGATTTACTGGAGCGATTCATATATGTTTCGCGGCCGAAATAAGATACATACCTGCGAGCACGGCTAGACGCAGGAGAGTTTTGGCTGGTTTGCACCAATTTAAGCATGGGCTGCCTGGCTTGAGGCAAGCAGTAGCAAAACATTGAGCACCCGGAGGTGCCCTCATACTCTCAGAGACAATGCGTGGTACTCGTGCTCTACGCCAATCGAGCTATGTTCTTATAACCCGTAGATCTGTTGTCTCCCATGACTAGGTTTTACGGGAAGAGGGCCATCGACCACTTCCTAACCTCCGAAGAGGATGGACTAGGATACTGGCAGGGGGCCCACACCTGACAGAAGAACGACTCGGGTAGTTAGCCCAAGCCTTCGATTAAATGTACACCCGAAAGGCAGCTGGTCTAGCACATGGTCAGTTCACCGACTCATGCGGATTGGTGGCCTGGACCTTAGCAGGGAGAAGGGCGAAACCCAACCCCTACCCAGCTGCCGTCACGAGGAGGCGTCCAGGACATGAGCCCATGTCGCAACAGTAGCAGCAGTGGCTAGATCATCTGTCATCTGCCGAAACTATCAACCTGTACAAGTAATGGAACTTCGAGATTGAGCACCGGAGCAGCTATAAGCCAATCCTGGAGCAGTGTATTACACTTCGATGGGACAAAGGTCATGGCATACATAGACGCTTCAACCGGCAAAGGATCCAGAATGAATTGCATAACCTGCTGATCATCATCAAGTAGGGCGACATCATCAGGATAAGCTAAGTCGATCGCGCTCTCACCCGGTAGAAGCTCTAAGCCAAAATGTTGGCAACCTTCTGGAGCACTCGACAGAACATCTCCGATTACGAAGTAGAACACCGAACCATGATTTATGCGGGATAAAGAAGCAGTTGCTTGTTAAGAGCGGCAGGTTGGTGGGGGTAAAACTACAGTTATCAAAAGATAGTTGTGTTGTATGTTTGAGTGTTTATCTAGCATATGGTTGGCGGCATCCGGTTTCGGATTTGCCTGTCACTGTGGTCAGCCACAGTGTAGAGAAGCCCCTTCCAAGAATGTCTCGGGGAGCTCTTCGGAGCGAGCTGAGAGCGGATCGAGAAGGACGGCTAGCGACGAGCCTGGGCCCGGAACTACGGAGCGGGAATATGTGGACAGCGCAATAGATCAGACAAATACGCCGCTAGCGCAGCCCACAGGACCGAGGCCGAGCCGATTGACACAGCCCAGAACGAGCAAGTCGAGAGCTCTCGAACGACTCCTGGGGGTTAAAAACGAGCGAAAGGACTGGCTCGTCTCCAACATCCGTACCTGTGTTGCGTTGTGGGACGGAAATCTAGCCGATATTCGATGGCGCGCGCGCGACCCTCATGTGCCCATTTTCGGTGTGCAATAAACGTCTACCCCCCTGTCTTGTCGTTCTCGCTACAATATTGTCTATCCAACGCAGCAGTGTGTCACCAACGCCGTGGAGCTGAAGTTTAGGGAGGAGAATTTGGTGATCTTAGCGATCAAACGCTCTTGAGAACTCCAGGTAAATTACATCGTCTCATGCTCCGCCATCAACAGTTTCAGTCCAGCTATTGCGTGCAATTAGTTGGTTCGTAGTGCATGAGTGCTTTTGTCTGAAGCCATGTTGTTCTGGTGCTATCGTCTTGTGATTTTCCAGCTAGTGCATGAGTGCATCAGCGATGATAGACTCCATAACTTTGGAAAGCGCAGGGAGTAGCGTTATAGGATGGTAATTGGTTGGGTCAGTGCCACTACCTCCCTTATGAATAGGAGTGATAACCCCCTCGTTTCCAAGTTGTTGGCATATAGTTCTCCTCCATACAGCACTGATATAGTCAGAGGTTCCGCCAGATCACTGGTTGCTGATGTGTTATCGACACCAGGTTAGCTGTGGACACGCAGAGACAACAGTTTCTTTGACACACTTTCTGCAGTAAAAGTAATATTGTATAAGGCTGATGGTGGGACAATAGAAACAGGGATAACTGTTTGGCCCGTTACTCTCTGGAACGCTTGTGAGTAATGGAACCGTGCGAGATCGGCTGCTTCCGTTGCTGGTCGCGTTCACCCCTCAGTTGTGATCGGTACTGGAATTCCACCTTGCACCTTACGAAGGCCGTTGACATGCCTGTATAAAATTTTGCGGTTCGTGCAGAATCTCTTCATTAGCTCCTGCTGATGCCTCAACTTGTCCTCGCGGCGCAAACTCAACCAGAAGTTACGCTGTGCCACATAGGCAGTCCAGATTTCGGAATTCGGAGAGTCCTTGTGAGCTCTCCATGCTAAGTCTCTCAAGGACATGCGTTTGCGTGTTCTGCTCCTCAGAAAGGACTTCTTCTCCTTTGACGATGTAAGGAGTACTGCTCAGACGCGTGCGTTACCAGTGTGGTAAATGTCCATGTGAAAGTGTCCCAAGCGATTTCTGGAGGGCATTCAGTAAAGAGGGTCTGAACTACTTCCTTAACAAGCGCGGATAACACGTCGTAGTGGGTGACCATATACACTTTAGTATTCTCTTCATCAGGATATTCCGCATAATATACATAGTTAAACAGTAGGGTCACATGGTCACTGTGACCCAGTGGTGTGTTTGTAATTATTCCCTCGACTATGAGTCCTTCGCTGGTGAGCACAAAATCAAACATCGACGGCTTGTTAGCAGTACGAAATCTGATGGGAGAGATCACTTAGTTGTACAGCGCATAGCTGAATATTACCTCTTGTAAACAGGCTTCGAAAAGCATGCTATCGGTCGCCGCTATTTCTAGATCGTGCACATTAAAGTCGTCTGCGATGAGAAGAGCGTGGTTTATATTGGAGTCCATTTCACATGTAGAGTTTGGTGGACGGTAAATCACAGCTATAAGACAAGTGTCTTTGTTCCGCAACCATAGCCAACACCAAAGCAAATCTGGAGCACAGATCTCTGGGTGGTCAATTAGTTTATATCGAAGGTTAGCCTCGTGATAAACAATCAGGCGACGACCACTTTCAGCGTTGTCATTCCGAACCCGTGACATACCAGGTAAATTGACTTCAGAATCTGCTATCTCAAAGATTAACCAGGTCTCCGTAATCATAATGAGATCCCGCGGTTGTGGCACCTGGCGTTCTCTAAGTTCGGCCAACTTACTAAAAAAACCTTGGGCGTTAGTGTACAAACATGACAGTGTTTTTGACGTTAGAAGTGTGTGAGTGGACAACAAATTCGTGTTTAGTTTTAAGCCGACCGTTCGTCGGTCGGCCGTTAATCGTTTTGTGCGTGGGTCATTGGTTTTTGAATGTCAGGCAGGCTGCGTGGTAGCATGGAACATCCTAGATCGAGATGTTCTCTCGTGTGTCTCCCTGTCCCATCAGTTGTCGCTAATGCTATATTGTCTAAAATTCTGCAGAATTGTAGAGGTAAATATTTTAGTGAGGTTGCATGTTCAAGTGAAGTGCTGACAACTAGTGGCCGCGCGCTTGGTATCTTTAGCTTAATCTCGGTGGGCAACCTGGAGCGATACTTCAAGCAACTATCCAATAGGAGTTTATCATTCCATCGAAGTATAGCCTGACTTTCAATATTCTTAGACCACAGCCCTTGTAGTTTGGTGATGAAGGAATTCTGGTTAGTGTTTAAGCGATAATGTCGTCTAGAGAGAGTGCCTTGCGGATGTAGCACCCCTGCTCTCGGTCCTGTTTTTGCGCTTCGTGATCAGGAGCGCCCATTAGATCATGAACACCATGAACAAATACGGTTTTATTGCTTTCGTTCGTAGAAGGGCGGGCTTAGTTTTCTTTTTACTTTGACCGTCCTTTCCAAGGAATATCTGGTAGTATGCGTACCCCGCTCGATGAGTTGCGAAAATGAACTGCTGAGAGTAGGACTATCTTTGTCTTTTCAGTTGAATTCAAGGTTACTCGAAGAAATCGGGGTTCACCGTTGTTTATTGAATTTGGGTGAGGTGCTACACATCGTTGCCCAATTGACTCAACCCGAATACCAATCGCATCGCAGATGGAATGCCACTGGTTGCGATCATCTACCAACTTGCTCTTTGTTGTGCCCGATCCGGACTCAGGAACGTTGGTGCCTACCACCGCTAACGCACTGTACTTCTGCTTTTAGCACATATCTGTTTAAGTGTTGTGGCTGGTAACTTGGATTGTCTGGCGTGCATGTGCTCGGTCCAGAAAATGGATGTACGGATGTCTCTTTAGGCTTTTTATCGAGGTGATCGAAGCGTATGCTACCCGGCTTTTGACTGCCGGTGTTGTGACCAAGCTGTCAGGTGTGGCACCTAGGGATGTGTTAAATGCGGTCACGCCGGATGTGGCTTGCCCACTTAAAAGTTTACTAATTGTCGGAGTAGGTGGCATAGATGCCGTCGGGCGGTTAGCAAACCAGACCACGGCATTCGACTTAGGGACAGAGTTCGGAGGGGTTTGTTATGGAGTAAGATCGGTGTAGTTAGCTTATAATGGCAAAGCCCTAAAGCTCGCGATCCTCCGGACCTTTTAAAGTTTTTCCCACTTTTTCACGAGCGATAGTATACATTTGACTATTGGGCTTACTCTGCATGTTTGGCAAAACCAGAGCGAATCAGTCAGGTTGATTTGTCTCTTGTATTGTAGTTGACTTAAACCAGCACAGAGTGTGTGGAACGGAAGGCCGCATAATTCCCATATAATGTCTCGTTTGACTGGGCGAGTAACTTCTGCTTACCACATTTACGGTTAGGTGGAATCAATCCCATTGAGAACAGTTGTTGCAAACGAACGTTTCCCTTGTCTGATCATGTGAGGTAGTGGGCGAATGACGCTCACGTTCTTTGTCCCAGTCGCACTCTCGACGTCGGTTACTGTAGATGAGTGTGCACGACGACACACGTACACGGAGGTCGACTAGCTTATTGATCCACAATGGTTCCTGTAGGACAAAGCCGTTGGAATTGGTTCGTAGTGGATGGATGGTAACGAAAAGTGCTGGTGATGGGCGAATGCAACTGAAACCACAGCTTCAGTCGTAGCTTCGTTATAAGTGATCCTATGAATGTTATTCTAGGACCACCAAATAGCGCGGAAAATCCTTGAGCAAGCACAGTGTCACAGCAGTGGAAACTGCTAAAAGCAGCATAGTGGCGCGTCTGGATGGAAGCACGAAGCGCGCTAAAACGAATTGGGTTGCACAAATCACTTTCCGTAAAAAAAATAATTCCGTAGCAATATGCCCACTGAACACGGGGAGTTAATCTGATTCAAATGAGTGTATGATGACGGTGCTAGGTGAAGAGAAAGACTTGAAACTCTGTGACAGAGGAAAACACGTTTACTATGCGACCAGTCAGGTGAAAACCACAATACTGAAGAGGAATGAGGACAAAGGGCGGCCCTGTCGCATACCGCTATCGACATCGAATGGCGAGGAAAGCTGCCCCAGACCCACACTTTGCTGAAGCTATGAAGGTGAAGTGCTCGTAAGATGGCGGTATACTTCTCTGGTACCCTGTTCTTTGACAAGCAACGCCATTAAGCAAGTAGATCAACGTAGTCAAAAGCGGCACGTATGTTTAGGAATACAACGATATTTGGCCTGTGGCGATGTGTTAAGAGTCGGTAGAGCATGGAGATTTGATCCACGCATCCGCGACCGGTACGGAAACCGGCTTGTTCTTCACGGTAGGATGGTTCACGCATTGGGGATAGTCTACGGAGCAGAATTGATGCCAATAGCTTAGAGGCAACCGAAATAAGACTAATCTTGCGAGGATTTACACATGAAATGCGAGCGAATTGCTTGAATATCGGTACATTAACTGATTTGCACCAAGAGGAAGACACTTTCTCTTCATGCCAGATTTATGGAAACAGCGAGGGCAGCAGGTTAATGATCACCACGCCGCCATATTTGAACGGTTCAGGAGAAAGTCAGTCCGCCTTGAGCCGCTTCAAGCGTCGAATATCGAGGCAGACTTCCGCTTTGGTGAGTGGATTCAGTGGGACGAGCCAGGGTGGACAACAAGGTGTACTGCATGTACTGATGGACGGTGAAGGCCATTTGAACTGCAAGTGAAAGTGCTCGGCCCAGCGGTCCATACGCCTCTGTTGCTTGATGATCGGTGATTCATGCAGCTTTCAAATGACCTCACTGACACCAGACTTCCTGAGGCCAGTGGACCGAATGAGTTGGAAAAGCTTGCGAGTGTTGCCAGAGAGGTCAGCGGTTTCCATCTCTAAAGCACGCTCAGACCACCATGTCTCGCGATCCTTGCGTAGGCTTTGCTTTAGCAGTCAGTTGGTAGAACGGCGCCTCTTATTGCAATCTGATTCCGCCAGGATATCTTTGCGGCGTTCGAACAGCTCCAGAGAAAGAGCAGAGATCCAAGCCTTTAAGGGGTGTCGAGTTAGACCGCAGCTTGACTGTCCGGAAATGGTCATCGCCTTCTGTATACAAGTCCAGTGTTGCTCTATGTCCAGCTGTGGATTGCAACTCAGTGCTTATGCCAGTGAAGACTGATAACTCGCCGGGATAGATGAATCAGTTAATCTGTTTCCATCAATCTTGTGGTACTACGTGTTTCGGGACCCCCAAAACACATGCAGATTTCCGCACAGACTAGTGCATGACCTGAGTCAACGAAGGTGGACCGATAGGACCTGCAATCCAGTACGCTGTCGCGCTATCTGAAGCTAATTGCAATGTGATTAATTTGAGACCACGGTTGTGTTGAAGAGGGGGGAGGCTAAGTTGCGGAACGGTTCTTCGTACGCTTGAAGTTAGTACTCGAGAGAAACAGATGGTTGTCTTCGCACAATGTGAGAAGCCTCTCTCCGTTATTAGAGCAGTTCTCACTAAGCGCGTGGTGACCACCAAGGTGGCGTTCGTATGATAACGCGCGACAAACTCGTGCATTAATATCTCCAGCAAGTACAAGAACATCCGACTTTTAGCATTAGTCAAGAGCTGATGTAAATCCTGATGGAAGTAGTCCTTGACCGAGCCACCACTGCAGTCATTTGGAGCCTACGCTGAGATCACAAACAAGTTGTGTCTCTCCTCGCACAGCTTGTTGATTCTACATGAACTCCGAAGCTGAACTGCACATAGCCGGCTGTTAATCGGGAACCAGTCCATTAGTGCCGCCTCGGCCTTGTCACTTAGTGCTATACCTACACCAGCCAAACCCGCTGAAGCTGCTTCTGGATCTCCATAAAGTCGCAGGTGATATATGGCTTTGCTGCTTTGCGCGTGGGTTATTTAGCCAAAGGCTCGGGGTGGGGTCCCCTAAGTCAACTCCCTACTTCGGTTTGGGCAACCGGCTGGTATCACGCCCTCTCACAAAACCATGGGTTGTGCTACAATGTGCTCATCAGCTACCGTTTCTGCTCACATTCACACGACTTCAGCACACGTCAGTTGTTTGTTTGCTAACAATCCTTACTGGTCACCGGAGCCCGCTCGGTATTGCATTCAAAATTGTGTTGCGGCACTCTAACCCGCAATTTCTTTGGTTTGCTGAGGCTATCGCGATTAGTCGAATACAACCATTGCTGTGCGTGTGCAAACAGTCTTTCGTTAGTCTCAGGCTTCCGTGGACATAAAAGCTGAATAGTTTGCATCCATCTCCATCCTCACGTTTGTTTATTTGTTTTGTCACATCTGCCGTCCTTTCTTGTTTCTCATCCGTTATTGTTACTGGTACCGAAGAGAAAATACGAAATGTTTGCATCTACTTGCAGTAGGTCTGAGCATGAGTTTGTAGTGGCCCCAAAAATTAATGTGATCGTTGTACCTCGATTAGATGGCCATTAATTCTTCCTCTTCTCTTTACCTTCACGTTTATTTTAATGTGGCCTCTTGATAGGTGGTTGGGATATGAGCGAGGTTTTCGCTTCGCACTGCAGCTCACCAGGTCTACAATGATCTACGTAAACATTGAACACGGAAACCGTCGGAATCCTCGACTGGACACATAATACATACCAGGTGTGTTTTTCCAATCAGGTCTGTGTAGGACAAGATAAAACCTTAGCAAAGACCAACAGCTGCCCAGAAAAGTACAGATGTGTCTCGTTATCAACCGTACGGCTCTATTAAGAATCTTAGAACCGTTGACCTGGTATGGACGAGAGATTATCACCAGGAAAAACAAATGAGCTCCTGGTGCAATTACCAGACAAACCGGCACAGTCACCTACTTAACTGAGGTCCAAGGCGAAACTTGACACTGTCATATGAATCAGTTGCATTTCCATTCCAGCAGCTACCAATGTCCACCGAATTGTGTTTCCAAGCTAGATTTCCAGTTACTAGTTGAGGATTTTACACTGTGGAAACTAAAAGACAGATCCGTGTGTAGTAGAACATGCAAGCCAAGAGGTGTTCCCATGGTTGGGTTTGGTCTGTAAACAGTCAGTAGGGAATCGCCAATCTCCGAAATTCTACACCTAGACTCAAAGGCCGAAAGCCCTAGGCAGACGCGGCAAGAGAAGAGAAATGTATCGTATACGGAAGCCCAACCTAAATGGTTCATCTTTCCCACAATGCCCACATTTGCCTAGATCCAATCAGACTGTGATAGTAGTTAACCAATCCTCAGTGAAAGTGGGACCTACACATGGTTAACTTGTGATCTCGCTGCACCAATACTACCGGTCCTATCCACACGGTAGTATTATATTCACATGCTGAAATTAGTTCACATCATGTGAGTACATCTTTCTCTGAGAGTATGGAATTAGTTATGTCACAACTGGAATAACATGACTAAATGTCGCATCAGCCCAGACGATGGTACAGATACTGATGATTACATGAGAATACTTCATCTTGGTCAATTGGGACCACACGCTCATGCAGACTTCTCATAAAAGAAAGTCTTAAAGTTTCAAATTCAATTAATGTTACGGTACTTGCATTGAGCACAAAAAATGACGAGCTAAACTCTGTTCACGTGACTGTTTTGAAGAAGGGCTCTACCAAAATCATCTACAATTTAAACCTCATTGCTCGCTTTCAATGGAAGAATTGGTAACTCTTAGTCAGACTGGTCTGCCTCATTCCAAAGCCGTTATTGGTCTCGTACACATTAGTGCAACTAACTTTCTCTGCGTCTGATCGTGTGGGGGCCACTTGGTACATGGCGTTCTCCCGCTTCGGGGTGTGAGCTTCGTCAAAATTGCAGGATGTGCTTATTCTTTTTTCAGCTTGTTTCAACTGCCATCTCATCTTCCATATGTCTGTTTCTTCGCCATCATCCACAATGAAATTTTGGGGGATAAGTGTTGGATACGTCTGGGTCAGCTGGTCACATTTTGCCGAAGACTTTGGCGAGATATCATAGTCTTCCTGATGGGCTCCGAGTAGAAATATAGGACAGAGATTTAGTCGCACCATACACAGTATGGGGTGCCAAAAGAATTGTAAGACACTGGTACAACTTCGCTTAATCTCACAAATAACAGGATACAACAAATGCATCCAGAACCTTCCAGTGAAACAACGGACAGTATGTTTATTAACATGGTGGGAGAGGATGTTCTATTAAACTGAAACTTCCAAAAGCCCAGTAACCCCCTACTACTCTCTAATAATCGGTGGCTAAACTTGAGGCTTGAGGTAAAGAACAAAGTAGATCATATTTGGATTCCCTCCTCAGTTTTAGCTACGTGACGGTAGTTGGTAAGAAATAGCAATTCAAGCTACTAAACACATAATTTTACCTATTCAATCGATAGCACCAATCCGGAAGCGGTCACAATGACTGCACTATCCTAAGCCTAGTTATTGTTTCACGTCGTAATCCAAAAAGATAGCGAGATCCTTAGGCTCCAACGGAAATGTCTGCTTTTGTTCACCGTTAACCAAGTCTCAGTAACATGACTCTTATCAACCCACCGAATGCGCTGGAATCGACTTGGATCTTAGCTACGATCAAGGTGGACGTGGTCTACCTAGATTTCTCAAAGGCCTTCGATCGACTAGACCATGGAATCCTGATCTGCAAACTTCAGAGCTTCGGCATTGGTGATCCGCTCCTAGGATGAATCACAAGCTTTCTTCTCCACCGGAGCTTAGAGGTAAAAGTGCGTGGGTCCCTGTCCCACCCAATCCCAGTCGAATGTGGTGTACCACAAGGATCGGTACTGGGGCCACGATTGTTTTTGATGTATATTGACGACATAGCGGCCCTCATTCTTTCCAACTGCCTACTATATGCCGACGACATCAAGGTCTGGAGAGCGATCAATACACCAGACGACTCCGCAATACTTCAAGAGGATCTGGATAAGGTGTATGCGTGGTCAGTTCAGAACCAACTCCCATTCAACACAGAAAAATGCAGAGTATTACACTTACGTCACCAATCAGCATTTTTCTATAAACTGGGTGACCATGTGCTTCACACAACTGCTGAGGAAAAGGATTTGGGAGTCTTGATTCAGTCCGACCTTGGTTGTTCAGCCCAGGCAAAGAAAGCATCGAACACGAGCATTCGAAATTTGGGCCTTCTCAGGCGCACATTTGGACGCTTCGATCCATCCGTTTTTCACCAACTTCTAGGTGCATACATACGACCACACGTGGAGTATGCAATACAAGTCTGGCAGCCGTGGCTGAGGAAAGACCTCTCTGGTTTAGAGAAACCTCAACGACGCGCAACGAAGAACGTGAAAGGTTTAGGCCAGTTACGCTACGAAGACAGACTGAGATCGCTCGGGATATTTAGTGGTCAATATCGAAGACTACGGGGAGATTTGATTTTGGCTTATCAGATTCTGACAGACCCCAATCATACCTGCCGCCATCTGCTGGAGCTCAGTAACAACAACAACCTGAGAGGCCATCATCTGAAGCTGGCAGTGCAGTACAGCCGTTTGGAATGTCGACGAAATTTCTTTTCCGTGCGTGTTTGCCAAGCCTGGAATGCTCTCCCAGAATCTGTAGTCGGTGCACCAAACCTGATCGAGTTCAAAAATCGAGTTGATAGTGCACTCACTTCATTGCACTATCTCCCATAGTACAGTCTAATTTTGAGAGATCCAAAATCCATACTTTAAAAATAATTTTCCCCCACGCTTATTTCAACAATGGATTCATATTTTGACGCTTCAAACTCAAACACGTTGTCCCATGCGAATTTCAAGGGGCGGTGACTCTTTTAACCAAATACTCTCCATATCTCATGATCCCCTCCGGAGTTATAGTGGATTATTATTTTGACACTTCAAACTCGGTGAGTCCACAAGCTTGTAGTGACTCGTTGTTAAACGATTTTACTGAATTGGTTTCCATTGAATTTTTCACACTTCTATGATTTCGCACTGATCACCCTACGGGATTTGTCAAGCTTTAGCTTTTATACCCGCATAAATCCATTGTTCCATTGTTCCAAGGTCATCCCCACACACGCGTGACGTACGTGCTCCTGGTTCATTTGGATTATTCCCCTCTATCATCTCTCCATCTTCTCGCAGCGTTATCACTGTACGCTCATTCGAACCGGATTTACCAGCCCTACACAGTGATCCATCACACTTTGAAATAGATGTTACCATTAAAGTCTGGGCCATCACTAACGGTTTTCACTGACATCCGTGATTAAGCGCAAGCGGTTAACTCAATCACATTGAGCCGATTGCCTTTCTGTGTGACACTATTCGTTACAGAATTCTCGAGACAGGCCGAAAAGCCTAAGCTTATTCCCATCTAGCGTTTCGCAACACAATTGTGAAGGAACTTGTGGTCTGTCAATCTGTTCAGCGCTATGTTTTGATTCACTTGGCAGGTTCCAGTCACGCGCCATTCCTTGTGACCTTGTCAGCCGTGCGCCTGCATAACCCATCACACGGAAAGCGCGTCCACGCCGACCGCTCATTTGATCTTGCAACCACCACGCTCGCCTGATCGATGTGAGCGGCTCTCAAAGCTGGAAAATTACAGAATGCTAACCAACTCACTGGGTAAGATAACGACATCAAGTTGAATGCCAGAAATGCGAAACCTAAATGACTCCAAGCGAAAGACATTTGCGGGTTAGGAGAAAGTCGTCAAGTAGCTAAAATCGATCTGGCTTGCTCGCACTGTTTGGAATGGTATCGTACGAAATGTGCAAATGTGTCCCAACAACAGGTACGAGCGCGAACTAGCTCACAACATGCACTTTGGTTCTGTACTGTGTATTCCACCATCCCTCTCGTTAAGTACTTGCTTATCCTAGTTCAGAAGTGCAACCGGTTAACCGCAGAAGACGAGCAGAGAATACACGCTAAGATTACTTCCATTGAAGCGAGTATGCACCATGGAAGCGTAGCGGCTTCTAAGCAACGTACTGTTGCACAATCTGCTTCCCCTGAACCGCAATCAGTTACGTCCCCATCTCCGCTATCTTCTCCAACTTTGGTAGAACGCCGGACAAAAACAGACCGTACCTACGAGAGTCAAACAGTATTCACGACAACGAAAATCAAGCACCACTGGAAACGTCTACTTAGGCAAATTCCACTCGACCTGACATCTAGCATTAACAAGGATGAAGCAGCCGAACACCAACCCTCAGTACCTGTAGCTCAAATGTCTCTTGTCGAGACAAAGCCCCATGGAACATCAGTTATTTATGCAGAGATTGCTACAAAGGTCCACCGAGAGGCCGCCGTTACGGCCTCTTCTGTTGTAAACACTGTTAACGCGAACAGAGGGACAAACAGTAAACCATCAACATTTGTCAGCAGGTCAAGACAAACGAGCACCATACATTGTAGATCAAGGAGAAAGGGGTCCAACAATAGTGCCCGGGCTGCTGTATGTTCAAATATCCCTGAATCTACCACCATCATATTGTGGGATAAGTTATCGGACGACCAAGACCAATGGAACTCATTGTGCGTGCTGATGAGTGTCAAAGCCAAGCCCATAAACTTAGTATGAATTAATCGTCATCCAAACTCGCCACACTATGGAGAATCCAGACTTATTTGAGTAAAACTGGAATCCTCCACCGACATGGAAAACGTTTTGCTCTCCGCAAGCGCACTAAAACACGGATCCCGTGTGATACGCAACCATCCTGATGTCCCTTGGAGCGCGCGACAATCGAAAAGAAACACTGAAGAGGGACACAGCAAGCAAAACCGACAAACCACAGTCTTCATACATGGCGTACCAGAACATCTTTCTAACGATGTACAAGAGACCGGAAAGCAGTGGCAGTTCATTCGTGAAACAATCTCTTTGGATTATATTGTGGAGCTATCGCTCACTAGGATACCTCTCTCATCAACCGATAGAGGATGCGGCCATAGAAAGCTAAAAGTTGTAGTTCAGTCAGAGCAAAACAACGGATGTCTTGGATCGATAGCGGAGAAATGGGAAGTGTCTTCTTTCTGAACTTCGGTTAAAGGTCGCAAATGCTTTGCACAGCTCAAATATTAAAGCATCTGAAGCAGCCAGCATACCGACGAATGTACAGAAGTGTAACTTGACTGTTGCCTTAACTGACTCTGACGTAGGTCTAAATGAAGGTTGGGACGCACCTTGGCCGAATCAAGTTGCAAACGAGGTATTAGTGTCCCATCAAAAAAATGAGTAACTGCCCACCTCCCATCGGTCAACATTCTCCGACACTTGACCCCTTCACCCCTCTGTGGACTCATAGAGACCGAGAAACTGGTCTGCTTGTATACGAATGCTCAGAGTCTTTCTAACAAACTGGCCGAACTGAAAGTTCGCCAAGCTTCCGGGTCATATGATGTCATTGGTATCACCCAGACGTGGTTGCACACGGAAATGACGGACGCTGAAGTTTCCCTACCGGGCATGTTGCTGATCCGGAACGGTAGGGTCACAAAAGGAGGAGGGGTAACTCTATATTGCTGAAGCGACTTACAGTGCGAAGCCGTGGAAGATTCAGACTCGCAGTTCCCCGACTCTCTTTGGTGCCACATGCAGTTAAAAGGCAAGGACGCTTGCCTTATTGTCTTGGTGTACCGCCCCCTAACTCTACACCCGAAACCGACTACCACCTTTAAGATGCAGTTTACAACGAAAGTACACTCACATACTTATCGTGGGTGATTTCAACATACATTGTGTAGAAACTTCTGCCATGATCTGAGAACAATTCAAAGCCTATCTACAAGATATATGATGGATACGTTGGTTGCAGACTGCCCGTTGGGTCGCATTGATCACGCAATCATCAGTTTCAAATTCGTCTGTTATAAGGAATATCGGAATGAGAACGATGAGATTGTGCGAACCATCACAAACTACGATCGATTAGCCCAGCTCGTCAGCGCCACAACTTGCTCATTACTTGACGAAGAACACCGGAAGTCACCAGGCTCGAGTTCGTCAAAAATAAATAATAATGTGCCAGCTGTACGCCGTAACGGCGCTTCGCTGCCGCGCGAAGCGCCGTGCAATAAGTGTACATCAACTTCTTTCGTTAGGAGCAGAACTCGAAAATGGATGACAATACGCAACGCAGCACGGCGAGTGTACAGAGAAGCTCCAGCACCAGAATCTTGGAACGAATACATAGCTCAATGTGGCCACTGCACACAACTGCTAAGAGAAGACAAAGCCGCCTATCAACAGAATAGCGCAAAAACCCTCAGCGCTAACCACAAACTGCTGTACAAGCATGTCAATAGCCTAAGAAAGGTAAGGCAAGAATTTCCTCCACTTAGGATGGCCGATGGCTCAGTAAGAACGGTTGTGGAAGCAGCAAACGCGCTGCACATGTAATACGCCCCCACGTTTCAAAGGGTCTTGCCACCAAGCGATCTACCAAACTTTGTCTTCTCCTCGCCAGAACTAACCCACATCACTTTTACCGCTCAGGCTGTATTGCAAAAGGTGATGTCTCTACGCAAACACAGCTCGCCGGGTGTCAACACTATTCATCAAGAGGCACTGGAAACAGCAGCAAGCCAACGGGCAGGACTTCTAGTTCCGTTTTTCCAGCGCTGTTTGAACCAGAATCAAGTTCCCGCTGTGTGGAAGCATAGAATTATAACCTTGATTCACAAAAGTGGAAGCAGAACTGATCCCTCCACCTACCGCCTAATATCCATTTCTTCCTATACTCTCCAAGGTCATGGAAGTCATAGTTGCTGATGCACTGCTGTGCTATCTGGAAAATTGTAAAATCATCACGCCTGAGCAGCATAGTTTCCGTCGACAGCGGTCAGGTACAAGAAATTTACTGATCGCACTCAGTAGTTGGACCGAGTCAGCTGATGCTGGCGAAGGTGTTGATGTGTCCATCTAGATTTTTCCAAGGCTTTCGATCGTCTAGATCATTGGATACTACTTTCCAAGCTCCAGCATTACGGGATCAACGACCCTCTTTCTACTCGAATGGCAATTAGTGGTCAGAGTTCGGAGCTCTTGATCGGGCCCCAAACAAGTCGAGTGTGGTGTGCCGCAAAAGTCAGTTCAAGGTCTACATTTGCTTTTGGTGTTTATTAATGACCTTGCACAGGGAATCCCCATCCCTCTTAGCTTCCCCCTCCAACCACGATCTCATTATTTAACACTTTATAATTTTGCATAGGAAATTACTTTTTTGATACATAGTAGTCGGCAGATAGCTTACCGGAACGATATCCATCCTTTAGCGGTAGCTCAGCTGGCTTGAACCTGTAGCATTTTAATCCCTTCTTTTCTTTTAGGTATTGCGTCACACTAGCTGAGGTATTTCCCACCTCTAGCTAACGTGTATAATGTGTGTGTGTTGCACAGGGAATCGTTTCAAACTTCCTAAGGTTTGCCGACGATATCAAGACCTGGTGTAGGATCCAGACGAACGCCGACCAACATGTGCTTCAGAGTGATTTAGCTACGGTGTATCAATGGTCAACCCAAAACTTACTGCATTTCAACATCGTTAAATGCAAGGTGCTTTCCATCCGACATCAGAGCAACTACTCATACCGGCTCGGAACGAATATACTACAACGATCAACTCTCGAACGTGACTTGGGTGTCCTGGTTCAAGATGTCTCGGGTTGCTCCAGGCAATCCGAAAAGGCCTCAAAGATTGGGAACCAACACGTCGGGTTGTTGCGAAGGGCGTTTGGACAAATAAACAGCTCCATTTTTCGATAAAAGCTCAGTGCGTATGTTCGCCCCCATGTCGAATACGCAATTCAAACCTGGTATCCATGGCTGAAACACGACCTTAATGCACTGGAACAGCCACAACCTCGGGCATCTAAGAACGTAATTGGAATGCGCAATCTTCCCTACCGGGAGAAGCTGCAACGCTTGGGGGTATTCAGTGGAAGCTATCGCAGACTACGGGGCGCCCTGATTATGGCATACTTGATTCTGCGAGACCCACATCATGTGTGCCGCACTTTACTGCAACTCAGCAGCAATACAAATTTGAGGGGCCACTCATTTGGACTCGCTGTACAGTATAGCCGCCTGGAGTGCAGCAGAAATTTCCTTTCCATTCGTGTCTGTCACCCGTAAAATGCTCTCCTGGAATCGGTCGTATCTGCACCGACACTAATAGTATTTAAAAGACGGTTGGATGATGCACTCATCCACTTACACTTTGTCAATTAGCACTACGTCTCCATCTTGCACCTGGAGTTTACCATGGAATTATTTGATGTTAAGTGCGAGTGGTGTGAATCTAAGCTGACTGTAGGACTACGGCGGCGCAAACGATAAGTCCTTATTTTCATATTTAAAGTACTAACTGTTTTACTATCATTATTATCATGCTTGTTATGCCGATATCCCCACCAACTATCCAACGGAACTTGTAAAGCAACGATTCTTAACCCGTATAAATTCATCGTTCATTGTAAAGCCTAATATACAACTAGACCGCCTTATGGGTCAAAATACTTTGGCAGCGTTCAAAAGGCTAAAGACAATTGAGCGGTGTTTGAAGGCTGCAGTATTCATACTCTCTTTGGCTCTTTGTTTACCTCGTAGATTTTTGCCACAATTGGAAGCTGAATACCTTTTCCAAACCGAGTGTATGACCGTACAGTAGAAGTGTCCACTATGATGCAAATGCACATGTCATGAAAAGTGATTGATGTTAAACAAACTATATCGTCCAGAAGTTTGGCATAAAACGACATATTGCTATTGATATTTCTACTTACCAAGCTGTTGATGTGACAACTGCTTGTAAATTTGCACAAATTTCCGGCAATTTTCTGCAGAACACCCTCTGTTTCTGGAGGCCAGCTATCTTCGCCATCGTCGCCGAAAACAACTTTCAGAAACCTCGAGTTTTGTAAGTTTGTCTGGACGGCAGTTTCCAGTCTCCTGAAAATTGCACAATCAATTTAAGGTAATGTTTATATGTGTTTCATTTTTAAAAAGATTGTTGGAGCTAGCTTATAGGTAACTGGCTAGACTAATCTGCCACATCTGATTCTTGACATATGATAAAGCTTCTACGTACATTGCTGCACTTCTATGTTGCAATTGTTGATTTTCTTTACCAGCCGATGTAAAGCAAATGAAAAACCACGATGATCTCACTATTATGCACGGTGTCCCAAGGGAGCGTTGGGATGTGCTTCACAAATTGATGCACGTCGATAGGAGGAATGCTTGCGTATGTGACGACCACTAATGCATCCTTACTCAACCTGGTGTAATGCGCCCACTGAATCGTTTTCATTCATTTAATATAATTTATTCCACCAACCGAGTGGGATGGTCAGTGAAACACTTAGTTCCATAGTTTCCCCCAGGGTAACCATCGCAGCAGCAGCAGCAGCAGCAGCAGCAGCAGCAGCAGCAGCAGCAGCAGCAGCAGCAGCAGCAGCAGCAGCAGCAGCAGCAGCAGCAGCAGCAGCAGCAGCATCATCATCATCATCATCATCATCATCATCATCATCATCATCATCATCATCATCATCATCATCATCATCATCATCATCACATCATCATCATCATCATCATCCTCATCATCATCATCATCATCATCATCATCATCATCATCATCATCATCATCATCATCATCATCATCATCATCATCATCATCATCATCATCATCATCATCATCATCATCATCATCATCATCATCATCATCATCATCATCATCATCATCATCATCATCATCATCATCATCATCATCATCATCATCATCATCATCATCATCATCATCATCATCATCATCATCATCATCATCATCATCATCATCATCATCATCATCATCATCATCATCATCATCCCTATTTGTATGACTCACAGGCGGTATACGATGCGCTAAATGAACGGTCCATGCTAATGAATTCCCGTTTGAGGAACACATGAGAAGAATGCATGCACAGCAGTCCAAGATTGCGGAGACCCATCCCACAGTTCCCTTTTATGAATGCGCTTGCTTAATTCTAGCAAATAAAAGCGGTATTCTTCCATGCTCTGCTGGGTTGTTCACCGAAGGTAGGTAATCCAGAAATAACACTTATTTTGGTTGGCTAATACCTTTTTCGAGGGAATTCCTCTTAAAACCACTTATGGAATTATGGAACTGATGAAATTGTGGAACACTTACTTGTGACGCGGGCGCGCAAACTGTAAGCGGCCTCATTGGTTTGATGAGAACAATGCGACGATTGGCGCATTGGTGTCAGGGAAGAATGCAGCATTTGCTGCACATGTTGCAGATCCCAGTGACTTGGGGAAGAAGAGTCAGTTTCGCAAACTTCGACAGCGACTGACCCGAGAGCTCCGTCGCACAAAAAGTGCATGGTGGACGGAGAAGGCGAAGCAGGTGGAATGCTATGCCGAACGCCGCCAACATAAGGAATTCTTTGACTCCTTGAAGGCGGTGTATGGACCGAGATTGGAGCCGCTGAGGACACTGATCGATGGTAGTTCAGGCGCTACCTGCACCCAGACTGCAGACATAATGCAGATCTGGCGGAAACACTGACTGTCTCTTGAACAACCGTTCAGAGATCGACCGGCCTACACTGAACGGCCTGAAGCAGCACGATGTGAAGGCGAATCTGGCGGATACGCCGACAATGGATGAGACGCAGAGAGCACTTGCTCAACTGCGAAACGGCAAATGTGCCGGAGCCGACGGGATCCCGCCTGAAGTATTGAAACACGGCGGACGCGATTTGGTGACTGCGCTGCACCACTTGGTGCAACTCGTATGGATTGAGGAGGAGGTGCCTGCTGCGCTGAAGGATGCCCTTGTGCTACCACTGTACAAGGGTAAAGGTAGCAAGCAATGTTGCACGAATTATCGGGGCATCAACTTGCTGAGTTGTGTGGGCAAGGTGATTGCCCGAATCCGGCTCAACCACCTCGTCAGTCAGGTTGTGGAACCGAAGGTGGCTGAAGAGCAGTGTGGATTCCGTTCGGGTCGCAGCACTATAGATATGGTATTTGCGGCTCGTCAGTTGCAAGCAAAGTTCAGAGAACGACACCAGCCATTGTACTCGCTTTTTGTTGATTTCACCAAGGCATTTGATACGGTGAACCGAGAGGCATTGTGGCTGGTGTTGGGTAAGTTTGGTAGCCCACGTAATTTTGTAAGTTTAATTGAATGTCTGCACAGTGGTATGCGAGCGAGGGTGCAGCTGAGTGGAGAGATCTCGGATGACTTTGCAGTTGTCTCTGGTGTGAAGCAAGGCTGTGTCTTAGATCCTGTCCTGTTTAATATATATCTTCATGCAATGTTGTCTTGTGCTTTTGATGCGGCTTGTGCTTGCGGTGTTCGTGTGGAGCACCGTATTGATGGTGGGTTGCTGAACATCCGTCGTTTCGGTGCGAGAACTCTAGTCTGTGAGACAACCATCTGTATGTTGCTGTTTGCTGACGACTGTGCGTTGTTCACACACAACGCGGATGAGTTGCAGCACATGACTAGTGCTCTGGCTTCGACAGCGGCGAAATTCGGGCTCACCATCAACACAAGCAAAACTGTCTGTCTCTTTCAGCCTTCACCGGAGGTGCAATCTTCAATATTGTCGCGAATCAGCATTGGTGCTGAAGTATTGGAAACCACCTCCGGCTTCAGCTACCTTGGGAGTCTGATGTCGACTGATCAGCAGCTGCACGTTGAGTTGCGTATTCGCGTGTCGAAGGCAGCAGCGGCATTCGGGAAGCTTGAGTACCGAGTGTGGAACAACCGTCAGTTTAGCATTGGCACAAAGCTGATGGTGTACAAATCCATGGTACTGTCCGTTCTTCTATACGGCAGTGAAACATGGACGATGTACCGTCGGGATGTGCGATATCTCGAGCGGTCCCATCAGCAGTGTCCGCGACGAATTTTGCGCATCAGTTGGGGCGCCAGAGTTGCGGACACGGAAGTGTTGCGCCGAAGTGGGATGTATGCAGTGGACGGCATACTTTTACTGAGACACCTGAGATGGCTCGTTCATGTGAGCCGTATGGATTCAACGCGGATACCGAAACAACTCTTATACGGTCAGCTGAGTATTGGGAAGCGGCACGTGGGGAAACCAAAGTTACGTTACCAGGACATGATCAAAGTGAGCCTCTCACGTGCTAATCTTGATTGCAGGTCATGGGAATCGAAGTCGTTTGATCGGCGTGCATGGCGCGATCTAATCACGAAGGCAGTTGCTGAAGTGCGGCAGAAAGCCCTCATGCATGCAGAGAAGAAGCGGCAAGCACCGATGAAGTGTACCCCATCGACTTCGAGTGGATGGTGCTGTAGCACATGCGGTCGCGAGTGCCTGAGTCAGGCAGGCCTAGTGAGCCATGAGCGACGCCTCTCGGGACTACTACCGAAGCGCCGACGGGTTCTGCAGAGAACGTAGGCAGAACCGGCGCAGCGTTTGTAGGTACGCTGCATTCGATTTCCTAACTGCGTGCTTGCATGCTAAGTCTATTTATTTCAGGTGGTGGGTTTTCAAATTTGTCCTAATGCTTTTCTTTCCCATATAAATGCCTAGTTATACTCTCTTCTATACACTTGTACACGTCGCTTAAGCCACTTGTAGTTATTTCGATAACATTTTCGTGCTTGTAGCATTTCCGTAAAATAAACCTCCTGATCTCGTGAACTTACCTCGTATTCCTTTGTAAACGTATTCTTTTGTAAGCAACATTCCATATGCTCACTAATTTAAGATTTATGTCGCCGTTTGCTTGCGTGCGAAGTCTGTTTATTTCAGGTGGTGGGTTTTCAATTTTGTCCCAATGCTTTGCTTCCTCATATAAATGTCTACATGTACTCTCTTCTATAAACTTGCACACGTCAATTAAGCCCATGCTAGTTCTTTATGAAAACATTTTTGTGTTCGTGGCATTTCCGTAAAGTATACTTTCTGACCTCGTGAACTTATCTAGCATTCATCTGTAAACGATTTACTTCAGATGCTCATTACTTTAAGATATATGTCACCCTTTCCTCATGCATTACTCGGTTTATTCTCTTTGTTATCTTTCTCTCAAGTGATTGGCTGTTGCTTGATATCCCCGGTGTGGCTGCACTTGATGTGCATGTTGACAAGGAGCCTACCTGTCTATTACCCACTACCTCGTCCATACTGGCTCCAGGAGACAGTTGGTCGTTGCTGGAGGGGACAGGGTGCACGGTCCTTGTGGCCGTGTTAGGATCAAAGAGTGTGGAGCGGACTACGGTCCAGCTACCGTCTTGTGTGCGATTGATTCCCCAAATACAGGGTGCTTGTGTTTGCCTGTGAACGAGTGTGGGCCGGCTCCGTTGATGAAACCTGGCTCCCATCCGCATGCCTCCCGGTCTTATTCCTTCGGGTTTACACTGGATATGGGGTGTGTGGTTGGAGCTGTGGGTGGTGCAGCGCAAGCCACCCATGGTCCCTCTGTAGGCGCAGGCGTCCTGTGGCTTGCCACAGTGACAGGCAAATCCGAAACCGGATGCCGCCAACCATATATATATATATATATATATATATATATATATATATATATATGTGTGTGTGTGTGTGTGTGTGTGTGTGTGTGTGTGTGTGTGTGTGTGTGTGTGAAAGGAATCGCCACGACTCCGAGTGGCTGGATCCTGCTACGTTGTAGAGAGAAATTGAAGTGCGTCTCGCATCCCACGCACTGGATTTTGTGCCGCATTTTTGCGGGGTTACTTGACGTGACCGCAACAACTAGCATCTGGACAGGCAAATGTCGCCACAACTTACAGGTGATGCGAGCAGAGTGGTGGGTGCGTGACTCCTCTATCACAGCGGAGGATGTTAATCGTCGTCCATGAGATGGACATTAGACACTTTGCTCGTTACAGGACACTGAGATTATCTCAACTGAAAGTAATCATTGAGTGAAGGGAGAAGCTGTGTGATTGTTAATCAATGTAGACAAATGGTATTTTTAGACGCAAATTGTGCCGTATTACTCATAGATCAATGAGTTATCTACCCCTTCATAACTCAGACAGAAATGGAAATTTAACACCTGTAACAGTGTATGGTGCCTCTCTAAACAACAAAATTAGCTGAATCTGATTACCACCTGGTCGCTACTACACGAAATGCCGATATAAAACATGTGACCTTACAGCAACTGAGTAACTTCATTCAAATCACTCTCATTGCTAGTCGACATCATGATAACACAGGGAAAACTGACTGATCACCGACACCACGGGCCGTTTCGTGAAGTGCTGCATTTGCATCGGCGTTGATGAGTAGCAGGTTGGAAGGCGGATGATCCAATTCGGAATTGAAGGTGCACTACAAAAATGGAACGTAAATCTAATTCATAATCTAGCTATAAAGTGTAAAACAATAATCTGCATCGTTTTCATCTGGGCACACTATAGCGCAATTAATAGTATCCGGTAGGAAAGCCATGGCGGAGGGACCTTCTCCTGATTTCGGTTCTTAAAAATGATGAGTAAAACAAATAGCGCAGAAGTTAGGGTTAGTGGTGATCTGCTGCACTTAAAGGATTAACTCAACATGCCTACTGGAAGCTAGGGTGGGCAAATTCGATTCCCTTGTGTGGCCACGTAGAGTTCCACTGAGCTGACATTGGTGTAGAGATGTTTGTCATTTTGTTGCTTTTTTTCACAAGGTGTCCAGATATTCTAGTTCCTCATTGTTTACTATACTGCCCAACACTCGCATAAACATCACTACCGAATAAGTTGGCACCTTCTGCCCAAATAGTGTTTTAGTTTATCAGAAAGCCCCGAAGGCAAACAACCATGACGTGAGCAGATTGCACTATCTTCCTAACTGATATCATACCTATGCTTACAGTACCTGGAAGCATACAGGGCAAGCGCGCAACACCCGCCTGCTAGCGTGGGCTTAATTAAGAGCACGGTATGCTGGGTGTTTACAAATATGCGCCACCCAAATATTTCAGCCTATCACAATGGCCTCACTACGGGAAAACTTGACTGAATTGGTTGCTTTGTGGGCATGACAAATGGCTGTTTAGTAACTCCATTCTGCGGCATGAGAAGCAGCAAAATCACTAACGAACTTGATGTTACGTGTTGTGTCGGAGCCCCACGACTTCTTCCACCCACTAACGGTAGTGAGAACCCCAACGACCGGGTAACAAACAATGTTCACGTAGCACGCCAAACCGGCCACCAAGCGTCTGTCTGTGCAACTCAATCACAATATTCAAATTAGGGTTATCACAGGCTATGCGGAAAGGCTGGCATTCGATCAATCAAGGCTGGCCAATTCAAAAAGCGGGGAATCGAATAGTTGCCTCACGAACGAACGAAATACGCAAAGAGAAAAGCTACTAAGCATATGATTCAGTGTCCATACAAGCTAATCACAAATGTGAGGCAAAAGTGAACGTATGTGAGGAACCGGAAAAGAGGGCAGGGTGAGTGGAGCAAAACTCACAAAACAAGAGGGAGTGGTGGAGTATTCTTACCTCCGCTATAACATTACCAAATGATGATTAGCTGCAGCACTGAGCTGCTTGACCATCAGATTAAATCAATGAGGTTGGACATAGGTTTAAGATAGAAACAAAAATGCTTTTGTACCGAGCGTCCACTTATGGAATGCCACCTCATTCTCGTAGCTCTTGCGTACACGGTGACTGCCGTCGTCACAGCCAATCTCTCGACAACACCAGTTCATGAGCAAAGTAGGCTAGCTGGTGAACATTTGTGACGACTGCTACTGGTCATTAGCATGCGACAGCCACCTCATCCCAATAGTATGACAATTCATGTTCAATGCGTCGGTCGTTTGTGAGCAATCGATCTGGCTGTCTAGGCTAAGGACAACCAGCGGGGTGTCACAATTTTTCACCTTTGCCATAGATTATACCCAGAGATTTTATCCTGTCAGTGTGGTTGCGCGTTTGACTGCTCGACATAAGTCCATCCAAACCGATCTGCCAACTGTGCATGCATCATCTTAAAAGGGTTGTCTACCTACACGCTCATCCTACAACGGAACAATGGTTTTATACGGGTAATGCTTAACAGGTCCCGTAGGACGGTTATGGTAAAACTTCAACATATATAAAAATTGTTAGCAAAATTGGGTTTACACCAGTGGAGTCACTGAAGTATACGTAGTATAGGTTGTAAATCCGAAGGAAATCGATAGGAAATGACAGCAAATGGGATGTTGGCAAAAATCGTGTTTCCTTCTGGTGTACTGCTCGAGGAGGTGAAAAACGTAGAATGAAATCTGTGGTTTGACCACCAGTGAATTCTCTTACAAGCCCTTATGTTTATCCGTGGGTACTGGGTCGTGTAACATGGTGCAGCGAAATAAATGTATAGTCAACTCCGCCTTTGAACTCTGCAAGAGTGGGAGCACATATGACAGATTCCGGTAGGGAATTCCAGGTACGGCAAGCGCGTACGGAAAAGAAATTCCGACGGCATTCCGAACAACTGTACTGCTCTGCCAATTCCAAATGGTGGCCTCTCAAATTGCTGTGGTGACTGAGATCTAGCAAGTAGCGGAACGTATGGTTGGAATGTCGCAAAATCTGGTAAATCAAAACGAGGTCTCCGCGCAATCGCCGATACTGTCCACTGAAGACCCCGATCACTTGTAGCCTTCGTTCATACATCAAATTATACAGACCCTTGACATTTTGGTTGCCTGGGGTTGGGGTTTCTCCAAGGCAGTGAGATCTCTTCTCAGCCGTGGCTGGCATACCTGTATTGCTTATTCCACATGTGGCCGTATGTGTGAACCTAGAAGTTGTGGAAAAATCGAAGGATCGAATCCTCCGAATGTGCACTTCGGGATGCCCAGATGTTGGATGCCCCACCTAGACGCCGTTTCAGCCTGTTTTGAACATCTAAGGTTGACCTGGGAAAAGACTCTCAGATTCTTCTCGCCAGAAGACATTTGAAACTTCTGGTTGCCGAGTTTGTAGGAGTGTACCAAGTTGTGCAGTAGGTGCAACACTCTACATTTGCCCACATTGCAAATAAGTAGATTCTGGATTGACCACAAGTATACCCTACCCAGATCAGCTTGAAGTACTGTGATATCATCTGGTGTATGGATTGCTCTTCACACCTTGATGTCATCGGCATAAAGCAGGCAGTTCGAGCTTATGAGGTGTGTGATATTGTTAATATATGTCAAAAATATTCTCGGTCCTGGTACCCATCCTTATGGTACTCCCCATTCAACTCGGATGTGAGCTGACAGTGATCCACGCACACCAACTTCCAGGCGCCGGTGCAGAAGAAAGCTTATAATCCATCCTAGGAGATGATCACTAATACCAAAGGTCCGGAGTTTGAAGAACAGAATTTTATGGTCTAACCTGCCGAACGCCTTTGAAAAGCAGTGAAAGACTACATCAACTCCTGTGCCAGAGTCTACTGTTTTAGTCCATCTGGATTGAGCTAAGAGTAGATTTGTAGTGCACGATCGGTTTCGTCGAAAGCCATGCTGTTCCGGTGCGTGGTAGTTAAATGCTTCCAAGTAGGCCGTTAGCGCATCAGAAATAATAGCTTCCATGAGCTTCGAAAGAAACAGTAGTAAGAGTATGGGACGATCGTTGCCTGGATTAAAACGACTACGTCACTTGTGAATAGGAGTAATCATCCCGTGTTTCACCTTTCCGTCAAGTATCTTTCTTCAAAACAGAGTTGAAAGAATCGAGCCAGAGGCTAAGCTAACCTCTCTCCTACTGTCGTTAGCGATTTCGTGTGTATATTATCAACACCAGGAGAGCTTTGCTTGTGCAAACTCAACAGCTATTTCGGTACCGCTTCTGCTGTGATGGGAATGTGAGGGAGTTTGGGGGTGAAACAACCATCGTCATAAGCTTATGTGGTCAGTGATCGCACTGGAATATTGCAGAGGCAGGGTGTTCGCCTCCTCCTTCCGTGTCCATTGGGGTCCGTCGGCTGTTTGAAGAGGAGGAATTCCCCGTTTCACTTTACGGAGATTGTTTACATGTTGATACAAAAGCTTGTGGTTTGAGGCCATGAGCACTGCCAACTTCTTCTGGTACGCCCCTGGCATTTCAATACACGAGGCGTACATAGCGGAGCAACCAAAACGTACCCAGCCAATGCCATAGTCCTGTAGTTGCAGGCATGCCGTGAGGCATTAGTAGAACTAGAATGCCAAGTGAATGAAGAAAAAATCTAGAAGAATGATCCAATAATCTTTTAGTCGGTTCTCGTGTCAATATTTTATAATTTTCAATTCAGTCACATAGTAGAAAATATGAATCAGGTCGGCTCCGTTGGTTCGTCACATATCTAAAGTCCGTGCACCTTAGCGCGTGGGATTTTCAGCTACTACGATTCATTGATTGAAGCACCGGAGAACCCGGTTGGTAAGATAGCGAAATGTACTAGCAGAGTGAAACGAATACTATCTTCCTTGATGGGGTGTGGGACAGTTGTTGATCTTTCAGTTGACAAATATTACCATTCCTCCCCTCGCTGGATTATCGTACGAATTCTTAGATGTTACTTGAACCTCTTAGCCTCTTTCATCATCTTGTCTTGATTCGAGAATTATAAATCAATCACGTATTCGTGTCAGGGTCCCAGTTGAATGATCTAACTAGAGTCAATCGCTTCCCCTCTCTAGCTACATCGTTATCCCACTGTCTCTCCTCAACACGCAAGCTACAGGCTACATGGGTTGTGCAGTGTTGAAGGTACGTAACGGCTACAGTGTCCTTGGGTATGTTTATAGTTCACTGTTTAAACGGAAGTTATGTGACCTCAAATGTCAAAGTAAGTCCACTACACCGACCATGTTACGTTCTCCATGATTTTTGAAAGCATACAGTCGGTGAATACTAGCCCACCAGTGTTTACTGAGACTATCTTTTCAGTATTAAGAAATTGCCTCATGTATCCACCTAACTTCTATTCTTGCATTAAGATTTGGTAGCCAACTGAAATTTGAAAAGTCTGTGAGTTAATCAACCGATTATGTCAAGGAAACACAATCGGTCTTGAAAAATCCGCACAAATGTGCTTCACTTGTGTATAGCAGTATCAACGACTCAAGTAGTTCTGTGACAAAACATCGATTTTGTCTCATGAACTACCATTATGTTACACTAATAATAGTACTGAGCTCATCAGCATTTGGTCCACTAACAAGGAAACCGGTTCCAAACAGATGATATCATCAAGTGCCATCGCGTTCTCTGAGTGACTGCAAATCACTAACCTACAAGCTGCGCTAAAGAACTGAGAATCATCCTCGATGTGCACAAACGTCAGCAGAAAGTTATAGTGACAAAAGAGGAAAGCAATGAACAATGAAGAATGATGTATCACGGGTAAAATAGCATGTGCTTGACAAGTCCCGTAGGATGGTTGGAGTAAAAATTAAAATTTGAAGGACAATCAAATAAGTAAATCGTGATTTAAAACGTCCACCGAGTTAAATGCGCTACTGCACAACGATAGTTTGCAATGGGAATGGGTTGTGCACACGCAGAATAGTTTAGAGAGTTGTTATAGTTCAGTAAGTGCGTGAAAAATAAAAGAGGAAACGACAACGCTCACCCGTTTATTTCTTCCTTTGCCAGATTTGGCGTGTCAATCTAGCTTAGCTACATCCAGGCTAATCACATGGACACTTCTGCATGTATCCTCACCACCACGCTGCGGAGAGGGCCGCTAAGCACATGGTTAGGTTTGCGTTATTTCGTCCTCCAAGTGGAACGGGCTATATCAAATAATGCAAGTTTGAAAGCGTTTCATCAAGAGGTTTTTTGAAAAGCGTTAGTGTAGGGGCAAGCATAACGTGAGTCGGAAAGGCATTCCAGGCACGAGACACACGGAGGGAGAAAACCTTTCGTCGACAATCAAGTCGACTGTAGTGCATAGCCAGTTTGAGCTGATGGCCTCTCAGGTTGGTATTTTGGCTCAGCTGCAACAGATTGCAACATGGGTGAGTTGGGTTCGTCAGTATTAGGTAAACCAGGATTAGCTCTCCTCGCTGACGTCGATATGTACCACTGCACAATCACAGGGACTGAAGTCTGCGTTGGTAAGGGATGAAACAATCCTCTAACGAGTTTGGTCGCTCTACGTTGTGGGGCTTCAAGTGCATCGACGTCGCGCTTGCGCCAGGGACGCCAGGCCTGGATCGCATATTTCACGTGAGATCTCAAGTAGGCGTTCAGCATTTGCAGAAAGATTGATGGCTCAAAATTGTCAAAAGCCCCCCGTAAGAGTCCAAGATGCTGACTGGCTCATTTTGATGCCTTTTCTGCCTGTTTTGAGCAACCGAGGTAGTCCTGTACGATCACCCCAAGATCGTTTTCTTGAGAAGCACGTTCTAACTGCTGGTCCCCAAGTCGATATACCTAGATAAGCTGATGGCGTATGCTTACTACTTTGCACTTGATAGCGTTAAACTGGAGCAGATTATGGGATGACCATGCATAAGCCCTGTCGAGATTGCTCCTCAATGCCGTGTGATCATCCGATGTCCTGATACCATGTCAGATTTTGATATCATCTGCAAATAGCACGAAATTCGACTGCAGCACACTGCCAAGATCGTTGATGAATGTGGGAAATAAACATGGCCCCAATACCGATCCTTGAGGCATGCCACACTGGACGTCAATTGGGTCGGAAATGGAGCTGCGGACTCTCACATTCAGCTGACGTTGAGCGAGGAATTTGCCGGTCCAACCGAGTATAAGGTCACCGATTCCATAGCCTCGAAGCTTGTGAAGGAGAATGCGGTGGTCCAAACGATCGAACGTTTTCGAGAAGTCCAGGTAGACTTCCACTCTGGCATCGTCTGACTCTGTCCAGCTTGCTCTGGCTAGCATCAAGTTTGTAGTGCAGGATCGGTTTCGGTGAAATCCGTGTTGCTGTGACACTAGGATATTGTTACTCTCAAGATATGCAATAAGCGCCTCTGCAATTAGACGCTCCATTACTTTGGATAAAACTGGGAGGAGAGTGATTGGACGGTAGTTCGAGGGCTCCGAACAATTACCACTTTTATAAATAGGAGTGACTACTCCATGTTTCCACATTGTGGGAACCTGCATTTCGTCGAGACAACGTTGAAAGAACTGAGCTAATGGTTCGGCAAGGTTCATGGCCGCTGTCTTCAAGGCCCTCCGGTTGATGTCGTCCACGCCAGGTGAGCTGTGCACGTGCAATAGCATTAACCTTTTCATCACATTGGCTGCCGTGAACGATACGTGGTTTAACCCTGGTGTCGATGGAAGCTGTTTAAAAAGCAGATGAAATGATGGTTCACTCTAGAAAGTATTGATGAAGTGTTGACGAAGCAAGTTGGCTGCATCTTTTGCGGTTTGCGTAAGACCATCTGTTGCACATAAAACCGGGATCCGGCGCTGCACTCTGCGGAGCTTGTTGACTTGTCCATACAGCAACTTGGGATTTGTACTGAATTTCGCCGCTAAGTTCTGTTGGTGCTGGAGTTTGTCATCGCGGATCAACTTGACGCAGTGGTTTCGTTGAGTTGTGTAAGCAACCCAGGTCAGTTTACTTGGACAGACTTTGTAAGCGCGCCAGGCTGAATCCCTTAAGGCCATGCATTATCTAATACTTCTCCTCAGGAACGAATTCACTTGCTTCGAGCGAAGGACCTTGCGTTCTGACTCATTTACCACTAGCTCAATGAATTGAGTGACGAAACACATCCAAGCGACATCGGGCGGCTTCTCGGCCAGGAAGGACCAATCGGTTTCTTGAACGAAGTTGGACAGTATATTGTAATGTATAACGACATAGGTTTCCACATTGTTCTCACTGATGTACTCCGAGTAACAGATGTAACGAAAGAGCAACATCGCGTGATCGCTACGGCCAAGTGGTGTATCTATGGTCACGGTGTCGACCATTAGTTCCTCGTTAGAGAGCACAAGGTCCAAAACAGAGGGTGTCACCCGTTGGGAATCGCGTTGGTGAGGTGACATGGTTGTACAGAGGTACATCGGCGATCAGCTCTTGCAAACCTGACTTGAATTGTTCGCTGTGCGATGCGGGAACTCCGATTGTGCGCAGGTTGAAGTCCCCACCAGAAGGATATGACTGTATGGTCATGCCAGGACTCGTTTCATCGCAGAAGCTAGGCATTGCTCCATTTCCAAGGTGGACATTGTGGGGGAGATAAACAACTACTGCGGTATGGACATGCTTAGCTCTCCCATCCATTAAGCATTGCTGTACAGGTGTCCATACAGACAGGAACCAGCTCATTTTTTCCACATGCTCTATGGTGGTACATAAAATCCACCTACTACAACGCTGAAGTAGCAGTTTCGACTGAAAGTGTAATCACTTTGACCACGTTAGGGAAAATCACAATTTTTATGGTATGCATTCTGGGCTTAAATAGAGAAAGATTGGACTTTTGTTAACTCGCAACATGAAAAAGGTATTCAGGAATGAAGTTTAAGTTCTCAGAACTTAAAATTTTGTTCGCAAAGTGTTGGTCTCCTGAACCGTTTGTCACCAGCCGGCAGAAATGCGAAGGGGGCAGTGGTAGCCAATACTACTATTAACAAATGCATACCACATCTTTGTGTCCATTCTGTTTAGCTTCTGACATTCACGGAAGCGCTTATTTCAAGCCATCCCAAAGACAAATCATCCGAGCAGCTTATATATCAAATCAGAAAAGTGTTAACAGTATGTCAGTACGCTGTGCTGGCTCCTCGATACTATAGGACCGCAAACAGTCGCACCTGAGCCAAGATACCACCGAGGGTTGAGGAGCAAATTCTTGTCGAAAAGGCTATGGAACCAACACATGAAAAAACATGCTGAGAAGCCGTTAGTAGCCGGTCAATAAAGAAACTTCCCGAACTAGACAACCCCCGAATCGAGAAACGCAGTTACGTATGCAAACATAATGGCTACACGTCTGTTCGCGGTCCGTTGCATATTATCAATGCTGTAGTTCACAACCAATCATCATCAGCAGCAGCAGCAGTAGCGCATAGGTTGTCACGCAACTGTAATAAACTTACAAGTAAGTAATAGGAAAATGGGAGAAGGGGGAATATAGTGTAACATTCTGATCCTTCAAATAAGCACTACCTCGGATCGGAAGTAAGGTTAGTATACCATTTAACTAAGTGACGACAGAAAACTGATCACTGATGCTACTGGCGAGCCGGGTCATTAATACATCTGGTCCGTCACAAGATCGGTCGCGTGAAATCCATTCCGGAAGGCGAGAAGGACCGACAGCATCTGTGACCTCGCTCCCCGGTACCAAGTCATAATCCAATACTTTTTTGGCAAACATGACCATTGAACACGTGTCTTTTGGCAGCAGAACAACGGAGCTGTGATGAGTATTGTTAGCAACATGTATGCTCTAGTCCCAGAGCACACTGTCAATCGGCTTGCACATTGGAAAGACATGTATCACATGCTTCGGTTGCAGAAGGGATGAGCCAGAGCCATAGAGGACACACTGATACTTTTAGTCACTGGTGTCGTTACATAGCAGTCTTAGTTGTTGCACCATAGTTCCATGATAATGCAAGCAAGCGTACCAATTGCAATGTATTATATAGGTAGCTCTCAATCTGAGTAGCATAGCCCTTACAGTCCGATTATCTTACTCCTTTTCACAGACATGAAACTGGTGCATAAGACCAGTCTGGTTACGTGTATCAGGACTGGCTACTCACAACAGCGCAAAGGCAACCTGGCTGGTTGGTAGCTGTCTCAATAACCAGAGCTTTCATATTCCACAGCTAAATGTCAATCGACAAAACCACTACTCAGTGAAAATCACTGTTTGCATGCTAAATAATCAGAGTTTAACTTTTATAGTATTAATAGCTTGAAAAATGCAGTTCATTCAAAATACCCAGCATAACATTAGTTTGTCATCAAAAGCCTTCCAAGGTGAAACCCGCTGATGCGACATTCATAAAGCTTTGAGTAACTATATCCATCAAGCTTCTGCTGCAAGCTCGTCAAGTGTTCCACAAAGTCCAAAAAGCTACCCATCGGGAAAGACCGTATCAAGGAAAAACAGACTTCTTCATTTAGGTGTGAAGACAGCAGGTGCACGGGCATACCACCAACTGACAGAGAGTACTGGAGATTAAACTAGACCAATTTAATCTTTACACTTGCATGGAGGCATGTTAGATAAATCTGTGTTTTTGTGTGTTTCTTCGTTGGCTGATAGCTTTTGAACTACTACACAAAGCAAAAATGAATTCGTAAACAATTACTTGGTTCTCTCAAATCCCACCAGAGAAAGACTTACCTCGGCATCCTCAACCATGGCTTGTGCATATGTGCCACAATCTCGCTTTTCTGGATATTGGCATTCGAAGTCAAATCTGTAAACAAATTGGAAAATATATTTATTCCTGTAGTTTCACAGCTTAGGTCAAAAACGTTGCTGCATTACTCCGAATAACAGCAAAAGTTGAAGAGTAAGTAAAATTATTCAAGCATCATGCTTCTGGCAGGCACTACCTAGGTGATTGCGCCTCACACAAAAGCAACAGTAAACGGACTTGGAGATGCAATAATTTTCAATGGGTTTGTTATATGCGGTTCGTACAAACTACCACAACTACATAACCTTCAATCGGCTAAAGGCTGAATTAGTTCCCACAGTAGAAAACGGTGTATAATAATAGTTATTAAAACATTTTGTGTTGCTATACCTCGGCGAAGTTCCGCTCGTGTCCTGTTCGTTGTTGGTATAATGAGCCTGAAAAAGGGGAAGGATGAAATTTGACACACAGATAGATCCAACTCAAGTGCATACTGTCGCAGGTAGACCAGTACCTGCCCTTGACCATACCGTGCTCTCCATACACAGTCCAACGTGGATGGAGGTGGATTACGTTTGTGGTCATTTTGGATACGCAAGGGAGTGATTGGATACACTGGGCGAAGTTATATAACTACCTTCTCTATACTACACACCGCACGTATACGATTTGTTGAGCATTGTACCGTTTAGACGAGCGGTCGAGTTGTAAGTTTACCACAAGTTACCTTGTAAACTGATATTCCCAAACTGAAATTGAGTAGGAGCTTTTATGCGACTAGACTGTGAACTTGACGTGCAAACGCCCCGGAGGACTGCAGACTGCTTTCGTCGTCTCGGCACTTAAGAAGAAATAATAAAAGCTTTACGCACGAGGGCAGGAGCGTTTTGAAAGCCAGTTACTAATTCGTCAAACGTGTCGCTTGGAGAGACTGTTACGATGAAGGGCCAATCCGGAACGATAGCAAAACGAGCACTACATAGATTCGATATCTTCGCGCTTTTAGTTTCGAAACTAATTTCCTTCGCCGGCCCCGTATTGAAATAAAAATACGAAATGTCACTGGCAGTAAGTGTAAGTACAAATTATTCCATCTTCCGCGAAGGCCTTCTGGAGTCGGTACCTGATGTAAAAATCATAGTGCGAAGCAATCCATCTACCTAGCCCATGTGTTCTGTTATGGTTAGAACAATCCTAACTAACCCAACCACCATGATGGAACAATGGAACAACAATGGAACAATGGTTTATTACGGGTAAAAAAGCATCACTTAACAAGTCCCGTGGGATGGAAATTATTGCGAAAATCAATTGCATAATAAAGTGAAAAGCACTGTGGTGGAATCACCATAGACTTATGTGGAATAGCGGAGATGTTCGCGTATTAAAAGTATAAATCCATCAATCCATTGGTTAGGCGCTTGGTAAGACACTGTTTGATTGCGTTTTGTAGCCCCTGGCTAACAAGTCATAAGATGAAATGTAAGTCAGACAATGCATCGTCAGCACGTTTTTTAAATATCGCCAAATTGGGAGCAGAGACGACATAATTAGGAAGGGTGTTCCAAGGCTGACACACGCGGAGGGAAAAGAAATTTCTACGGCATTCAAGCCGGCTATACTAAATTGTCAGTTTCAGAGGGTGACCTCTTAATTTAGTGTTGCAGTTCAATTCCAGCAGCGGACGGCAGACGTGGTTTGGATTCTTCAGAATTTGGTAAACCATTATGAGATCCCCCGCAAAAGCCGATATCGACTGCTGTAGATTCTTAGAGATTTCAGTATAAGCTGATAGGGCAGATGAAAGAGGCCCCTGACGTTCTTGTTTGCCCGTCGTTGAGGAGTCTCGAGAGCAACAAGATCCTGCTTCTGCCACGGCAGCCACACCTGAATAGCATATTCCACGTGAGGTCACACGTAGGCGTTAAGCATTTGGGGAAAGATTGAGGGTTTAAACCGACCGAAAGCTCTGCGAAGAAGGCCGAAGTGTTGATTGCCGGTTCTCATCGCCTTCTCTGCTTGTTTTGAACACCCGAGATCTTCCTGTACCAATACACCCAAGTCACGCTTCTGAGAGACCTTCTCCAAGATGTGGTCTCCAAGCTTGTAAGCGCTTACCAGCTGGTGACGCAGATGCATCACCTTGCACATAGCTAAGTTTAATTGAAGCATGTTCCTCTCTGACCATTCGTAAATGCAATCTACGTTATGTTGGAGCAGCTCGTGATCTGGCTTGTTACTAATCACTCGCCATGTCATGACGTCATCGGCGAAAAGCAGGAAATTTGAGGAGATAACTGATGCCAGGTCGTTGATAAACACCAGGAATAAACGCGGTCCCAGCACTGAGCCTTGTGGGACATCACATTCCATCTCAATTGGGTTAGAGAGTGATCACCTAACACGTACTTGAAGCTTCCGTTGGTAAAGTAAGTTGTCAATCCAACCAAGTACAGTATCTCCGATTCCGTAACTCTGAAGCCGTTGAAGTAGGATGCGGTGATCAAGGCGGTCGAAAGCTTTGGAGAAGTCCAGATAGATGACGTCGACTCCGACCCCATCATCGGCAACTTCCGTCCAACTACCTCGTGTAATCAGTAGGTTGGTGGTGTATGATCGGTGTTGACGGAAGCCATGCTGTTCCGGTACCAAGATGTTGCATTTTTTCAGGTAGTCCATTAAAGCCTCAGCGAGCACTGCTTCCATCACCTTCGCGAGCACTGGGAAGAGAGCCACTGGACGATAGTTTGCAGGATCTGAACGGCTACCGTCTTTAAAAATAGGGGTGATAATGCCACACTTCCACATAGTGGGGACTTGTTGTTCATCAAAGCACCTTTGGAAGAACTGTGACAGTGGTTCAACTAGCTTATTAGCCGAAGGCTTCAGTGCCTTCGGGCGGATGTTGTCTGCTCCCGGAGAACTATGCTCACGCAGTGAGATTAACTTCCTTAGCACAATTGATGGGTTGAAAATTACATTTGTTAACAAAGGTGTCGGTAATGTGCTTGATATTATGGGACAGGTAGAGGTTGCGAGTTCGAAAATTGGGGCGTACTGAAGCCGTAAGGCATTAGCTGCTTCTTCGGTATTTTGTACTCTACCGCCTGCCGTGAATAGTGGGGTATTCCATGCTTCACTTTATGCAGCTTATTGACATGCCTATATAGCAGCTTGTTGCTTGTCATGAATTTTTGGCTAGGCACTGTTAATAAGTTACTTTGTCCTCACGGACAAGTGCAGTGCAATGGTTGCGATAGGTCAGGAAATTTCCCCGAGTCTCTGAGTCGGGGTTAATCTTGTAAGCACGCCATGCTGCATCCCTTATCGCCCGACATTTTCGAGTCCTACACCTTAGGATTGAAGGCATTTTCGCAGAACGACGGGGTTTGGTCTCTGATGCTTTGTTGACGATGTCGCTGAGTCTATTAACGAACTCTGCCCAAACGTTGTCAAGGGGACGTTTGTTTGAGAATTCCCAAGCAGCTTCGTCGGCGAGTTTTTTCAATATGTGGCAGCGTGTGATTGTATGAGTTAGTTCCGAGTGTTCAGATGGATACTCTGCATAACACACACAGTCAAAAGTTATTACTACATGGTCACTGAGACCTAATGGACTATCCATCAATAACTTGTCAACCTTGAGCTCTTCATTTGTGAGCACAAGGTCCAATATGGACGGTTTGTTTGCTTTCCTGAATCTAGAGGGCGTGGTGACATGATTGTACAAAGGAATATTAGCGATCAGTTCATGCAAGTCTGCTTTGAACTGCTCACTGGGCGATGACGAAACCTCCAGGTTGTGTAGATTGAAGTCCCCGGAGATGAGAATGTGGCTGTACCTAGTGCGTTTACTCTGTTTAGGCCACGGATCAAGCAGGAATCCATTTCCAGAGTGGACGTTGGGGGGCGGTAAACGATAGCTGTGAGGCATGTGTCGTTGTGTCTTAGTTGGAGACGGTACCAGAGTGAGACGGTAACGTGTGTTTCCAGATCATCAACTATTGTGCATTGTAGACCGCTGCGGTAGTAGTGTAGGACCCCACCTCCTCTGCTGGGGCAGTCATTCCGGATGAGTGGCATTCCGGCTATCTCAACCTCAGCATCAGTCACCTCTTGGTGTAACCAAGTTTCGGTAATAGAAATTAGGTCCCAAGCATTCGTAACCTGACGTAGTCGAAGTTCGGTAATTTTACTGAGGAGCCCTTGGGCGTTAGTGTACATACATGAAAGTTTCTCAGATTTAAGTAATATTTCAGAACTTGTACAACTCATACGTGCAGTTTCGCCGACCTGTGAGTGGCCGGCGACTAATCGTTTTTTCAATGTGTACTTGGTGAAGGGTTTAACGTCTTATTCATCGCCCGTGTAGTTAGTCCCGCTTCTAATCTTCGACGTACAGTGTAAGGTGGCTGGTCAATATCATCCTCTACAGGTAGTATGGGCTCATTCGGCACACTACTGGTGCATTGTTCTTTCATAGATCCCATCGCGTTTGGTTCTTTGAGTGACATATCATCTCTAGGAGGCATATCGCTGATTGTCTTCAGCCGAACCTCAGATGGTAGCTTGCAACGGAACACGTACCAGCTTTTTAACATCCGTGCTACCATATGTTTTGACTGAAGGACCACCTTCAACACTCTCGGACCACTTCATTTATAGTTCGGTGAGGTACGCAGTCGTGACACGGAGTTCGCTAACACATCATCCAAGCGGAGTGTTTCACGAATATAACACAACTGTTCTTTATCATGGGTTGTTATTTCATGCTCATCAAATACTTCAGTTTCAGGAACCCCATAGAGAAGTATGGTTCTGGTTGAAGTTTCCCTCCGGTAGTCCTCTAAGGTGCGGTTAACTCGATAACGCTCGCCCCATGGGATGTCTGGGAAGATACGGATGGAGCTGTGTTCATTGCTGAGACTACCTGTCGACAGTAGTACTGATTCTACTTCAGGGATGGAGTTCGGCACAACACGCGGAAGTCTTGGCTCTCCGAAATGTTGAGAGTTTGGGGTGTCGTGTGATACGCATTACGTGTACAGGTTTCAGTACAACTCCGATTAGATTAATATTAATGTCCCACTGGTTGAGATGATCCAACTGCCTGCCGCTTATCGATGTCGATGTCGATGATAATCGATCAACCGCTATCGATCAATGTATTGAACTCTTCATCATAACCAGCGAAGCGCTCCCATTTGGCATCATGGGCTGACGCGGTACGGTTGTCCAAATTCAGGCGTGTATTCCGAATTGGTGAAATACATAGCTTCTGAAAATGTGTCCATTCAACACCGTGTTGCAACAAGTTGGTGACGGAGGTGGGATGGACCAAGATGGTGTTTTACAGTGATTTGGAATGTAATTTTTTCACAAGAACGTGAGCAATCTGGAGCCGCTCGGTTAACATGATCTGGATTTCACCAGACACTTATCTTTGCAGCTAAGTGGAGATCCGGAACTTAATCATGATCGAGACCGTCACTCGACAATTATATTTTCAGCCGGCAGTCCTCAGGCAATTACGAATGATTGTGACAGTCACTCGACATTTGCCTCTCTAGTCGGCAGGTGCCAGAATATCGAAGAGGCTTCAGTTAACGCGGAAAGCAACAATGACTTACAGCAAATGTTCCGAGCTCCAAATAAGAAACAGCAACTGTCCCAGTTCCCTCAGAGCTGCAACAGTCTAAGTGTCAGAAGACCCTCAGGAATGTCAAGCAACTAATACTCTTCTTTGCGGTGGAGGTGTTATGATCAGAACAATCTTAACTAATCTAACCACCATGATCATCGATCAACTGCAATCGATCATTTTATTGAGCACTCCGTCATAGCCAGAGCAGCGTTCGCATTTGGCATCATGTGCTGATGCAGTACTGTTGTCCAACTTCAGGCCTGTAGCTCAAGTTGGTGAAATACATAGATACTGGAAATGTGCCCATTCTTTTAACACCGGGTTGCAACATGTTCAGAAGGGCTATTCGCAGAAGCCTAAAGGAACTCCTTTCATGTTGCACGAAGGAGACTAGTTTCACCCTGCCTCGACACTTGTATAGCATCTCTGGAATGGAAGCTGTCTTTAGGTGTTGTCTCATGGCATTCCTGCGAAATCCCTTGCGCCGTTAACTGGGCTACACTAAATGACATTCTCGAACGGATCTGGTAGCGAAAACAGTGATACGTTAAATCATCCGAAGTGGAGGACCTCTCTACCCTGACAATCACTCTATGTTAGCCGTTATTTTTCGTTGTTTCAACGCTCACCATGTAGACCTTATGGGTCCGGACCTCAGTATGTTGGCCACCTCTGTGTTGAACAGTTTGGTTCAGTCCCTTGAGTGCTCAACTTATGAAGCTTTTACTCTAATTTGCCTTTCATCTTTCGATAGCTGATAAAGACGCTTGCAAGTGGCTACACCGAAGCCCTAGTGCAATTCAGTATTATCGGAAAACAGCCAGCACGGGCCCCCATCTGATTCCGATTGTCTCAGATGTCATGGTGATATCATTGATAACCACGGATAGCGTTCACTTAAGCAGTATGTTAAGGCAGTCGGTGCCATCAGCGAGGTCAGTATCTCGTAGAGTTTCTTGGTCACCAAGAAACAAAAAGCGGTTGAACACCGGTTTGGAGAGTAAACATACATTAAATCCACGCAACAGCGGCCACTCGAGCCCGAAGCATGTACGCTGTCTCGAGTTTAGAGTGTAGACTAATTATTTATATGCTTATTTATAATAGGTATTGACGTAAAACTGCATTCCAACTTGTGGTGCGTTTAGACCTTGTTCCAACCCTTCACTTGGGGATATCTCAGTTGTGATTCCAAATATTCAAGTGCTCTGCATGGCTGCAGAGTTCTGTAAGCATCGTTTATGACGGCGAATTGCGGTTAATTTTGAGATGTACTGAGCTACAAATGAAGCCACCCACTGCTTAGCACCTAGAAAGGGCTTGCGACGGATGGAGAACTCATGATCTCAGAAAGGTTTGAAAACAACTGGTTGGTATATTTGCTGGGCAACCTTTCGCTTTTGACACTATAGCTTCGTCAGACCGTGTGAACCAATTAATGAATGGTGTGGAATTGATAGCGACCTGAGAAATAATCGCGACGAATGGGACGTAGGCAGAAGGTCAATCGCGTTACGGATTAAAGTGGCACTTCAATTGGTGCTTGTAAGCTAACAGCCATATCCTTCTAATCATGCATATGCAAAACGAGCGATGATTCTTTCACCGGTACGTTCTTTTGTTATACTCTTATATTCGACACCATACACCGCTTAATCGAGCGCCAAATGATTGGAGTTGTGTGAATGCGTCACTTTCCTCCGAGCAGTTCCGAATAATCCTGGGGTGCACCGATTCATTATTTCTATTGTTTTCTTCTTCCGTTGCCAAGACGTACGTTAGATTCGGTTGTGCCTTCTAACTGGATGAGTGGCTAGAGTCAAACTAATCGCAGGCAACATGCGGCCTCAAATCACTGGCCACTGTGCAGGATACTGCGACTCCATCGGTTATTCTCACTCCATAGAGTGATTTCACTTACATTGGGCTTACCATGAATAAAATTTAAATCAACTGAAACGCGATGTGAAATATTGAGTCACTCCGAGCATAGTTACTGTATTCAGCTGCAATGTGCCTGCAGAAGTCATTAAGCAACAACTTGACGATTTTAGCGAACCATTGCAATCTATTCTTATTGCCTTGGTGTGGTGACTTGTTTCAACTGAATCAGATCTCGACATATTTTGGGAAATAGCCGACGACTGATTTAACTCGACGGCTAAGAAGTGATGTCCGTAACGGTTCATCGGTTGCAGCTCCAGTAGGATCGTACTGCTTTGGTTAGGTTACTGATTCGTGCAGTACCTCAAAATGGTCTGAAGAGTAAGTAGACATTGTTGATTTGAGGGCCTTGCCTGCATGGCTGTCTATGCAGACTGGCAAACAATGTAAGAGAAACTGAGGCTTGAGTACCCTTTACCGAAACATGCACTCTTCTCTTAGACGTATGCAATACTGTAACAGCGATAACAATAGTGAGCGTTAGCCGCCCTAGATAACAAGAAGGATTCCGATAAATATTACAATTTTCATGTAGCTGCTCAAAAACATCATGTGTCACTTGACACTTTTTCAGAGTACCATGCAGCCGCATCGCCGAATCGGTTGACTAATTTGTAAAGAGTTGAGTTAAATCTATTTTTAATCGGTGAGAAATGCACCAACGTTTTGTCACTCCGCATTCCTGTTTCAAGTCCTAGAGGTTTACGCGGTTTCGTAGGTTTGCATAACACTCAGTTGAACATACCGCTTAATCACTGCACGGTTTAAAGCCAAAATACCATATGTCGGTTAGATGTTCAACCATCAACCAGTGAGTTTTACTATTCCCACGAGTACGACACATACCCGGTGTGCTTCTCCAAGTTAGCTACCAGCTAACAGTTGTGGACCCCTGTATGCATAATTCAAAGAGGATGAGACGCTTGTCATCCAGGTGCCTAGCAGACTACGCTCAAGTTAAACATAATTCGAACACTAGCATATTGAGATAACCCTCGTTTTAGGCAATAAACCGCAGACCGTTGAATGTTCCGCGCTACCATCGACTACATCTCATCTACAGGATTAAAGTTCCCATCCGCAAACCAATTTTTCGCTGCATTAAAACAAGTTCACGGGTGAAAGTTCTTTACTTGTAGTTTGCGCTTACCTGATGATGTTGGAATTGTACCAGCGGATGAAACAAAGTGGTAGCTTACTAGAACTGACACCGAAACGCCATCAAGCTCTTTGGGTTCTACTGCAGTTCTGTGCGTATCTCGATTCACAACCGTGAAAAGGTCCTGCGTCAATTGCCGCAACTTTGTACACTGCTCATTTCCTTGGCTGAGCTCGGCAAAAAGGCGCTCTTGAAGTGAATGCAAGTGAATCTGACGAAAAGAAACACGACACGTGGGAAAAAGAATATCGGTTTAGCTTGCTGTGAAGCCAAATGACTTCAACTCGATCCTCACCATATGTATACCTTTGACAATCCGGGACCAGTTGAACACATCCAAAAAGTCACCGACGGGTTTGATATAAGCCAACAATTCTTAAGCAATCGTTTGCAAAAGTGGGCTGCTATCACTTAGTAGACGAACTGATACGACCGTTAACACAACGACAACCGCACTTTACTTGCCCACACGACAATTCACTGATATGCGATTGAGCGTGTTTGAAGGTAACATGGGGTACGTACCTCGTCAAAGGAGTAAACTGCCAAAATAATCGTAGACACTGAACAGCAGGCCGAATAATGACTGTTGCTGCTAAGTCTTAGTGTACGAGCGCGGAAGATGAAAGTTACACGGAAGACCATAAAGGCATAGAAACGCGAGAAGAGAGAAAATGGCACAGACATCATAAACGAGGTTGGACTGTGCAACGCAGATCGCACGGAAGCGAAGGTCCGGAGGCGAACATACAGGAAATATTCATCAAGTATGGACGGAACGACACACGAATATGACAGGTAGTCATTTTGCATGAGTGGTGCGTTGTAGAACGGAGGTATGACCTATGTATGCACGCGCACGGGTGAGCTTGGTGAACTGTTGTCACCAGCGATACACATTGTGCTTTCTTACTACTTCGTTCTTGCTACACTGGGAGACAACACTCTGGTAGTTCGCGACAGTACAACGTGCGATGGTAGTCCCGGGTGTGACCAGACTTCAACATGTGCACGAACAAACACTCGACCAGTTAACTGTTGTAGACAGTCAAGTTGTGTGCGGGGATGCTAAATAGTTCAGGCAGTAGTAGCACCGGAACACTGGTGTAGTTTCCTCTGATTTTCGCTGATTCCGCTCCGACGAATCTGAGAATCACAAATAACTTGATCAGTGCCCCTCTCGCAGACCTGTACTGGTGAGACATCTGAGCTCCAATCTCTACATCGATCATGACATGAGTCCCAAACATGGCGGAAGCTGTTGTCATCACTAACCAATGGCAACAAAAACTAAACATGAAGCAAAGGGCCTGAACTGAAGAGTTAAGAAGGACTACAGAATAACTAAGTGATTAGACGTAAAAGGCAGAAGGCAAGGGTGCCAGTGAGCTTGTAACTGTCACATATCGATCAGCATTTCCAACTGTTATACAGGTTTTTCTGTCATTTACTTCATACCTCTTTATGGTCCAATAGATTTGTGCCTCTATAGCCCAAGACAGCCAGAGACCGTGTTGGTTTCCGTCGGAACCGATCGTGCTCTACCAGTCTACTCTTAGCAGGGGGCAGCTGAACTCAAACTGTGGGTGCATGTGTAGGGGCTGATGTTGTCTACTTTAACTTCCCTGAGACACGGCCATAAGAACCAGCGCATCCATGTAGTCAAACCTTAGAGATACGGCATAAGTGATCCCCTCCCAAGGTAGATCAGCAACTTCCTCTAGCACAGCCGTCCGGAAGTGAAAGAGGCCTAATATGTATCCAACTCTATTCACGTGGAATGCAGTGCGCCACAAGTTTCGGTATTGGGGACACGTCTGTTCTTGATCTAATGTGCTTATTAACCTCGCACTGCTTGCTTTACGCCGACGATATAAGTGTGGTGGCCCATCAAAGAGCCTCATGACTGCCTAAAGGGTCAAAACGACCTCAAACAGACCAATGAATGGTCAATACAGAATTGTCTCTAATTTAAAGTGACTGAATGTCATGAGCATCATTTACGACACCCATTGGTCCAAACCTATTGGCTGGAGGACCAGGATCACTAACATTCTTCTCTTGGAGAAGACATCGGTGTGCTAGTCCAGGGACACCTTGGTTGCTCGGAGCAATCTGCAATGATATCAAAAAGAGCATCCAACACTTGGGGTGCTTAAAGAAAGCTTTTGGTCAAGTCGACCCATCGATTATCCCCAGGTGTTTTCTGTATACTACTCCCACACGTGAAATATGCGATTAAAGCGTGGCAGCTATGGCGGAAGCAGAATTGCACCATCGTAGAGGTTCCCCAACGTCGGGCCACCAAACAGTCAAAGGGCTATGCCCCCTGCGAACATCCTGCGAACAGAAACTGAGTATTCTGGGAGTTTTCACTGAACGATTTCGGCGTTTGTGCAGGAACGTTGCTTGGTTTACCAAGCTTAAAGCAACCCTAGACACTCGTGCTATCAGCTGCTAAAGCTCAGTCAGAATAACAGACTGAGAGGCCACCGTCTCAAACTAGCTGGAGCGAAGATAGAATATTTAGCTACTTGTATGTTACACATAAAATTCACTCTCACATCCTGTTATTTCAGCCCTGCATTAGCCGTGTACAAAGAGATTATCGATAATGCATTAGCTGCATTACGCAACTTAATTTAACAGGCATGAAAAATGCGCAAACTCCGAAAAAAAAAGCGCATGAACACACCCACTTTTGCCGGAAAAACCAAAAAAGAGATGAAATTAGAAGTTCCATAAAACCATACGTGAACGATACAGCCAGACATAATTCCGCTCAGAAAGATCATTGTACTCGGTTTCCTTTACCAGTCAATTTTCATTTGAAAACCATCAAACACCAGCACGTGGAATATGTAAGCTTTGGTACTTTCATTCGCAAAATGCCATTGAAAGCCGAGGTCAGGAGTGAGCACGCATGCAAACGAACTAAGGCAGCCAGTACAATGCCATTGTGAGTGTATAGCCGAAAACAGCAAAATTGCAACAACGAAGGCCCACCCGAACCATACGCGTTTAGCGCGCGTGCAGACCCTCCAACCCAAGGACTTGACTTCGGTTGAACGACCAGCGAAATGTAAGCTGGAAAACTGGTATGTGAACATACAGACCACGTTCTCGTAGGAGATTGGCTCCGTTTGCCAGCTAAGCATGTGCACATGTTAAGCAAGATGTATGCTATGCTCATGCAGGAAGGTGAGACAGTGCGCCTCGGAGGCATGCGAACGATAGATAGCTTTGCATGGCCGCCCTCATGCCCCTTCAGTATTTGGTGGACCAGGCCACATGAGAAGTTACTGCGGACTTGGATTCGGGAGTTACCACTAAGTTTGACGGCATACGAATGCTGGTCTTCAGGTGAACGGTGTGCGAGTTGAGAGCTGTGCACCTGGTCTGTGGACAGATAGGCCACATTCCCTAGTCGGAGAATGGTTCCTGTATTGGAACAGTGTCTCAGAGACGGAACATGGTGATGCACAGTAGTCGGCGGCGCATCTGCAACCGGCTGTTGATCAGTGCGTGCTGATTCTTCGGCGTTATGCTTAGTATGCTTTAAACGCTGTAGAAACTGCGCGACGACACAATAACATCAACGATGGAATGCAGCCCGTAAGTGGCCGTTACGTTCTAGAACTGGTGCAAAAG